TTTTGAACCTAAACTTAATTTTTACATTTCCTCAAAAAACGGTAATGAGTTGAAAGAAAATATTTTGTGTTGTTATTTATCATGTCAAACGCCAACTTTCAAATTGAGTGCAATACCACAGTTAGAAAATCGACTTACCCTAATGTGCAAACCAAAGAATCAAAATAATCATCTGTGGATGTAATAATATGCATCTTATTACATAAGAAAAAAAGCAAGAAAATTCTGACCGATGAGAATACATTGTAGCATGATGCTACTTGTCTTACTACACAGCATATAAGATTTAGCAAGGCAAGTCCTAGCTGTGAAGGTCAGAAATGATGGGACTGAAGAATAGAGATTATCTGAGCATTTGCTATGGCGATAGTGTTTTCTCAGTAGACAAGACACAAAAGCATACTAATGCTTTATTATTGCAGACATTGCTAAACAAAGTTGGGGTTAAAAATGATAAATTGAGACCAGCTGGAAGGCAAAATATGTAGTTTCTAGTGTATTGTTTATTTTTTTTCTCTAATTTTGGACAGTTTTGCTAAAGAAATGTCTAATATTTTATTATTTCAATAAATTTTGAAGATTTTTTTTTTTTTACAGATCAGGATGTGCAGGTAGTATAATAGTTAGCAGCTTAGAAAGAAAAATCGATGATCTGAGTTCAAATTCCAGACAAGTTTGTCACATTTTTGGGAAAGGTAAGAAAACATCTTTTCTCTCCCCCAGCTATAAGTTACCATATATACTCATATATAGTGTATCCCCTTTAATTTTTTTTGAAAAACCTAATTTTTTTTTATATACCTTGTGTATAATACAACCCCCAGCTTCTGAGCAATACTAGTCAGCCTACTCTAGTCAAATATTGCATTACTGGGTAGCATGCTTGAATATATTTTATTGCAAATAGTCTTCATTGGGTTTTTTTTGTACAAAGCTACCCCAAAATTTGTGAAAAAAAAACACTGACTATAAAATATCTAATACAAAGATTTAGATACCATTTGGTCACTGAATATTTACTTGTACATTGTGCCATCAGTTACTGAAAATGCATGATTTTTAACTTCTTAAAAAAAAATAAAAATTACCTGTGTATAGTCCACCCCCCACCTATTACTTTGTATAAAAAAAATGATCATAAAAACTCACACTATACTCTACTATATACGGTATTTTTTTCAGGGCAGACTGGGCTCTCAAGACATAGTTGAAAACTAGTCTCAGCAAAGGCAAACTCTGAATTTAAAACCATATATGAACCCTGGCAAAACACATACTATACAGCCATGTAAATTATTATGGTGTTCACAAATAACTGTGATGTTGATTTGTGGACTATTGGCTTATGAAACAGGTCATTATTTGAAGATTAAATTTTATCAAATAATAAAAACTTGAAAATTACTGGGGCTTGTCTATTTAAATTTTACTAGTCAATAATTTAAAAATATTTATAGAAAAGAAATATACATGCTAAAATTCATATTAGTTTTTTTCTGCATAAACATTAAAATAAAAATTCTGTGTATTAAAATAATTTGATTTCTGTGAGTGTCTGAATTTCTGAAATAAGGATTATTATTATTATTTACATTCAGACTCCTGTTCATTGTTATGTTTTGGCTGTTGTTTTCTGGCATTACTCAAGTGTGTGTTAACTGAAACCCTTTATTTAATCTATGGCTTTTGTGTTTTTGTTCTACTGGCTATGTCTAGGGAGATCTAGTCATTTTTTTTTTATACTGCTTGATTATTGCTTGCTCTGTTTTTCAAGGAGTCAAAACAACCCAGACCAGGGATTAAACTCATAATTTCTATAGCACCAAATTCATGAAAACAACACTTTAGACTAAAATGAAACAGAACTACCAATAAGTAATACAAAAAAAAAAATAAACAAACAAATACATTGATTAATTCATTTTTTATGGATTATCAGTCCTTTGCAGGTTATTTAAAGCAAGAAAATATTTTTACATTGTAAGATTTTTTTTTCTTTTTCAAGATAATAATGGTTCAGTGACACATCTTACTAGTTAACCCATATCTGGGGGTAAAGAGGTGAATTCATACATTTCTCAATGAGAATTGGAACTTAGCACTCCAATTAACAATTCTGAGCCATTATCAATTAAACCACATGCGCAACCAAGTTTACAGCACTTGATATTCTCAAATGCTCACCCATCTAGCTACTGACCAAGCTTGGTGTTGCTTAATTTTAGTGATCGTATGGGAAGTGGCCATAAGCCCAGATATGGGCAGCAGAATGAGAACACTCTACAGAAGTATATTAAATAAAGGGATCAGTTTGAAATTCCCTCAATGTTACTGGGTTGACAGGCACCTGAAGAAGGTCAGAGGGCACAATGGTTGAAACGTTGTGATAATAACAATGAAGATGAGGACATTAGTCCAACTGTAAATAATTCTGCGAGTCTGTCTATCATTGTAAGACTTACAAAATAGCACATTGTAGAGAGATTTATGTTAGGGCATTTTAACAATAATGCCCAAACTTGAACAATATTGCAATTTCAAATTGAATAATAATATTATTTTTTGATCCCTTCCAATAGAAGGCAGAAGGCTCAAGGGCCGCTCAAGATAGAGAATTACTCAATCAGGTTGCTGTATAAATGAAGAGGAAATAAGTGCAGATAATGAAGATATGTAGAATAGATAAAAGATCGTAAACTTGAAGAGGTTAAGACTGTAGCGATTGTGAAGTCTGTTCTATAAACTGCTGCTTTCTAAAAACTGCTAATTGAAAGGAATGGGGAGAATTAGATCCTCTGTGTGTGTGTGTGTGTATAGCAGGGCAGGACTTAGCTGTAAAGGTCTAAACTGGTGGCACCAATAAATAGAGTTGTGACTTTGTTATTGATCACCCTCATAATCATGATAAGATTCTTTTTATGTTTGGGCTGAAAAGAAAATCATATCAACATTGGAAATGGGGTTGGGAAATGAACTGCTGCATAAATTAATGATACATTTATTTTGTGTGTCGGTATGTGTGTGCATATATATATATATATATATATATATATATATATTACTGGGATGCTAAAAAGTTCTTATGTTGAACAAGAAAAAAAAATTTTCCAAGAAATAATAATGCACATATTTTATGATCTTCAGTAGGCCGAGAACTTTTCAGCACCATGCACACAAATAAATGTATTCATTTCATGGTTATTCTTAACTGATACAGAACTTAATATCTTCGCTTTTGCCATTCCACTGCAAACTCTTCCACACTTGGTAACAAAATTATATTTTCTAAATTGTAAGCATTTGTTTGAAAATATACACACCTGATGAATAAGGACTTAAATTAATTTTATATTTTAAATGTAGTTAGTTTTGCTAATTACAAAGTAGTCTCCCTTATAGAATTTATAAATTATAGAAAGTGAAGTGACTAAATAACAATAATTTAAAAATTACTAGGATTTGAATATTTATATTTAAATACTAAGTAATCTATGATTATTTCATTTCTGTATTTTTTTTTTTAAACACTTGTCAACGTGTTATTGAACTTATATAGTCATGTACTGTGCTTTTTAGGAGGTATTCATTTCTGAAATGGTTTTGCCAAATAACTGGAGAGTGTCATTATTTTTAATTGGGAAAGAAATACAATTAACTAAATTTTAAAATTTAATTTTGTTGAAGCTTAGTGGGGACAGAATTGAAAGAGGGTAGAGAAAGCATAAAGGCCAAAATAAACAAAAAAAAAAAAACAAAAAAACAAAACAGGACAACAATTAGTTACATTTTGTTTGAATTGAATCTTTAATTATCATCAAAAATATATATGCTGAAGAAACTGTTTAGGGTGAAATCATACCACATATTTATCATCATCATCATCATCAATGGTGTTATTTTTTTTTTTTTTTTTTTTAAAATTTCAACTGTGTTTTCATCACACCACTGTCTTTTATTTATTCCTTATTTTTTTTTTCTTTTTTTGTTCTCTCCTCCTCTGCCATCTTTTTTCCCCACCATCATGAGTAATGTTCTTTGGCAGAAAAAAAAAAAAAAAAGGTAATTCAGTCAGTCTCAACATACCAACAAGTACATCACATCTGACTTTTTAGTGGGGGATGATATTGTTAAAAATGTCCAATTTTTTTTTCTTGACTTATATTATGAACGACCCGTATGTCCGTGCCAATGTTATTTTTTTTGTTTTGATTTGAAGTGTTTTTGATTTTCTTTTTCTTTTTTTGTGTGCCAAACTTTACATATGTACAATTGAAGCTTTCGATTGGGACAATACATGTTAAAAGTATTAAGAAATTCCATTTTTTGGATTTTGTCTTTCTTTCGTATTCATTTTTAAAATCCTTGTTTCTGCTTCACGTTTCTTTTTCTTCATAAAATCAGCATTGTAAAAATCAGGTCTTTTCTGTTTGTTCTTTTAAAATTGTAATCAATAGGTCTTCGTTTTCTTTATGGACTTTCATTTTTCCTCTTTTTGTGAATAAGACATACCATTTGGGTATTTCTAAAAATGTAATCCATTTTTAATAGTAACTTGTGGTACAGATTTGTGATAGTAGTTGAAGTAATGTTTACTCCTGTTGCATTCATTCATTCATTCAACTGTCTTGCTTGCATGCTCATTTTGATCAGTCATTGTGTGGTTGATTGAGGTTTTAATATTTACAAGAAGAATTTTTTTCTTTTTCCATTTTTTTCTTTGGACAATTAATTAAAAACTATAAATAAGAACATGCAAATAATACAGAAAAACAAGATGGCTACATGACAATGATTGATTTTTTAATAAAAACATGATTGTCCACCATTTGATTAGGTCGAATAATATTCCTTTTTTTTCTGCTTTATCCCTCTTTTTGTTCTGTTTTTCTTTATTTTTTTTTCTTCTTTTTGGAAGGGCAGGGGTGAGAGACCAACAGTAGAGCTCTCATTGTGGGGAGGAAGAAAGTGTCTTCATTTGAAAGATGCAAGTCTGTGTTCACTTAAAATCCATACATAGGCCAAGTTCCTGAAAAGGTACCAAAAAATTACATGGGTTAATAAGAGCATGATGTTTTTTATTTTAATTAATATCTCAACTATATTTTTAAAGTATGGATTTTGCTAAGAGCTGAACAATTAAAAACAAAAGAAACATGCAGACAATGAATAATTATAGATATGTAAATAATTACTATTTCAGATAGAAGCTTAAAATATTTTAAATTACAAATGAAAAAGTTTCTAAAATGAGTACATGTAGGTTTTGTATAGGTATTTATAAAAATACCTTTATAATGTACATGTGAATAGATGTGTATTAATTTAAATACACATTTTGTGGCTGTGAGGGAGGCTTTATAAGAAAGATTTTTAATGTGAAAATGTTTATGCATTCTCAAAAACTGTAATGCATATCAACTTTACTGTTCTCTTGATGAATATAAGAACTTGAAAACAAATAAAATAGAAACAGGTTTATTTTAATATCAAATTTTCATTTACAGATGATGAAATGATAAATCTGGTTGTATGATTCTCTGCTATATAAGGTGCACTTTTCCTGCACAAAACTCCTCTATGAATTACTGTGTATCCTACCATGATGGCAGGATTACCAGTACTCAACTCACCCCTAAATATCACCATTTGAGACATGGTTCCCCTGATGTCCCCAAAATTAAATATATATAACTATGAATGATTTAAGTTGGGATTACAAATGAAAATAATATTAAATTGCAAAAATAAATAGGGTTGAATTATAATTTGAGAGGGAATCTCTAATATTCAAGTGCATGTCATATGTCGGGAAATGTGAAATAAGGTTCTTTGCATTGGAGAAAGCACAAACATTTAAGGTACCAAAAAATAAAACAAAAAGCAGATACTATTTCTATTAAAATCAGTATAAAAATCAGTATAAAAGAAATGAAGTCTTTAAAAATAAAAGGTAAGGCAAAACCATTTCTTTTCATATTTATGGGAAAGAATTAAAAAATATTTTCTACTTTCCAACTTTGATTGTAAGTGAGAATAAAAATACTTTTCTGTTCATAAAACTTCAATGGGTTTAAAATAATATGGAATATACACGTTTTAAATACAGTGTAACCTGGATATAAGAGAGTTGTCGGGACCAGAGAAGAAGTCTCTTATATCCGGGTTTGGTCTATTTTATATACATTAACACAGGCTCTAATTTGGGACCAGAGAAAATTTCTCTTATATCCGGGTTTCTCTGTATATATCATTTTAATCCATTCAAAAAGATTTAATGGAAAAAAATGTATCTTGTATTAAACATTATACTTAATACTCTTTTTGGCTGATATAATTATCTTTTTTATTAAATAATTTAAAACTAGTGTTTCATTTTCTTTTTCAAGCTAAAGTTTCAATTTGCATATTGATAATTTGTTTACACTAAGGCACAAACTAATATACATTATATAATGTAAATGAAACTAACATACATTATATAATGTTTTTATAATGTACATTTTCATGCATTCTTTTGTGGAGATCTATAACATTTCAATATCATACAATACTAGAAACAGCTACTATTATTTACATATATATAATCTTAAATAATTAACAAGACTATTTTAACTGAAAAAGAATAGATGGTACAAATTTTGCCCATATTTCAACTCTTCAAAATATGAGAGAAAATGTGTGTGTAAAATTATATATGCTGAAAATAAATATAAGCATGAAAACTTAAAAAAGATTTTACTATTTTTTTAACATTTTCTTATGACCCTATATTTTAAAAGTAAGTAAGTATTTAAGTTCTATTTTATTCAACAGGACAGCAAACAAATGAAATAGAAACATGTTTATTTTAATATTAAATTTCATTGTCTCCCTCGGCATAGTGAAATATTTAAAATTTCTCAACTATAGCAAAAGATGAAATTCAAGGCTCTAGGGTTCTGATTCACTCCATGCGGGTAAGGGATTTTATTGTTAATGTTGAGTTCATAAGTCAACCACTATGGCAACATTTATACCCAATGACAGCATAGCAATGAGTTTAGCCCTTGGACTGACTATATAATTTCTACCTGTGTCATGTGGAAAACAAAGTCCTCAATAATTCCACCATGCCCCACATATATATATAAGTTACGAAGAACTGGGTAAACCGAATGGGTAATTCCAAAGAGGATGAAATCCTGAGAGCTCAATGTGAATACAGAGCTAATATTTAATGAAAAACAGACCACTTTAAGGTACCATTACAATAATTTATTTCACCAAAATCCTTTTTAAAGGATTCCGGATCATCAGGTAACAATTCCAACAATGAAATGAAAGGAAAAATGGGATTAGAAATTAATGGGTAGTGTAATTATTGTAATTTAACGGGGAGGGGGGAGGTGAGAGTTGTAGCTAAAGAGACAAGGTAGAGTATAGGGAGGGGTTAATTATATATATGTGTGTGTGTGTAATTATATATATATATATATATATATATTAGTGGATACATGTTTTTGAGTAGACATAATTTTTTTTTTTTTTTTTAAACAGAAAAAAAATGAAGGATGACTACTAGAACATGTGTATCTACTAAAATATAATGTTTTGGTGTAAATAGAAACCATTACTTCATTAGAAATTACTTAGTAATTTTTACATTTTATATATAGCAAATCAATAAGATTTAATATATTTTAACGGCAGCAGAAATTTTATCAAGTGCTCAATAGAGGAACAATAGTCACAAAATTAATGAGTTTCACATTAGTACCTGATGAGTGGAGTTATGTGTAACTCTGAAGATAAGTTGGTTGAACTTTTAATTTATTAACTATATATGCTACACATGCTGGCAAAAAAAGAAAGAAATGGAATATTTAAGTAAAGTACATGTAAATTATCAAAAGTTTGGTTTCTTTTTTTGTTTCACAATCGAGTACCTTTATCCATAAATATATAGCTGTTTAATTGTTTTTATTGAATTTTTCCCATTTTTGAATAAGGTGGCATGTATTGAAATCAAAATTGGGGACAGATTGTCCAATGTTCCTGTTTGTGTTGTTTTTTTTTTCAATAATTTTAGACTATCTCCATCATATTCAAGAACCAATGTAGGATGTGTGTGGTAGTCTACAGTGACAAAGGAATTCTGCCTATTTCAAAGAATACCAGGATATAGGCAAAGGAATTCTACATGCTGCACAGACACCACAGTGGTTCTTGAAAATAACCATAGAGCCAAATTCCAATTATAGTCAGGTTTGTTATATTCCCTTGGGCACAAATGCTCTTGGGAAAGATAGGAATCTATCACTTTTACCTGCAGCTATGGAAATCATTATTATCTCAAAAGACTTCTTATGTTCTAAAAAAAAAAATTTCTGACTTTAAATAACCTCCAAGAGGTTGATAAACCATAAAAAACAAATCTATCTTGAAAATGACTGTAACAGTTGAAAGTTCTTGAACAGCTCAACATGAACTTCATACAGTTTTTCACTATACACAATGCCTTATTTGAAAAATAGGAAAAATACAATAAAAAAAAATAAACATATTAATACTTTAAAAGATTCTGTATCTACAGCAGAAATCATAATTTCACAGTTCTTTTAATATTTCTTGTATAAACATGTCCTGGTATTATAGAAGGGTACATCATCAAATGATATAGGAAAGTGTTACATACAAATAAAAAAGATATATTTGTTTGAAATTTAATATATTAAGAAAAGAGTGCCCAGTATTAGAGATATGTTTTATATATGTAGAAGCATGTGATCAAATATAAATATGCATTGATATATGTGCTTAAACTCTTCATATATTTTTTTTTATGTGTCCAAAAGTCATAAAGAAAAAAAAATACAATTATTAGCTGAAGATCATATTTTTTACAAGTTGTATATAACGCTACATACATGATTCACTTTTTTTTTTTTAAACAACTTGAAAAGCAAGGAATATAAATATTGCACACTGTTTATTTAGACAGTTGTCTTATAATGACATCAACTATATACAGAAAATGAATTGCTTTATATCATATTACTTTTCTCTTAATTGCTTATTGAAAAAAAAATGATGAGTCACAATTTTTAATTTAAAATACACATAGTGGGAGAGATTATTTAAAATGATCTTTCAAAGATAGGTGCTTATTTTATTAAAATAAATATCATAATATTTTATAAATATTAAAATTAAACAAAAAATACTTTAAAATGCCTTTTTAATTTCCTTAAAAAAAATGTACCCTTCATGTTTGGAAAAAAACTTTCCTTTATGCAAAATTAGCCAATGGCAGGATTAGAACTCCTGATGTGAGATGAAACCTTTAGAATTTCAAGCAGGAATTTTTGCACTTATGTAAAGAAATGAATGCAAGTAATTCTTCATTCTCTTGATGAATAAAAGATCACTTCTTGACAATATTTTTCTGTGCAAACCTTTTGCTTTTTATAATCCTTTAGAAACAAGAGATAAAAAACTAACATATGTTTAAAAGAACTATATGTAAAGAAAACAAGATCTTACACACACACACACATATATATATATATATATATATATATATATATATATAAAAAGCAGACTATTTCTTTTTCTGCTTTCATTTATATGAATGTTAATCCTATTAATAGTAATTTTTTCTTAACCTGTATTAATATGACAGTGACGTCTTTGTTTTCTTCTAAATGTTTTTTTTATGTACTTGGGAACATTTTGTACCTTGAGAAGGAGAGAATATTTAGATGAAAAGAAAAATCTATTATAGGTTTTAGTTACGAAATAACATGACTGAGTTTCATGCAGTTCTTGCAATCTTTAGGTGCAAATATAATCTGACTGTTATTTATTTATATATATATATATATATATATATATTCCTTTTCTTATAATATTAGTGATTTTATTTTCTTACAGAAACAGATGAATTTAAAATAATTAAATTAAACATTTTTCATAATTTTAAAAATTATAGAAATATAAAATCTATAATGCTCATTTATTTATATATATATATATATATATATATATATATAATTATTTATTTAAAAATATGATTCCAAATCGCGACATAAGTCCCATGTTTCAAAACAAGAGCCGAAAACTTCAATATAATTATTTAAATTAAATTGAGTTAAAATAAGCTTTGTTCCATCTTCAAGCGAAATTTTTTGGGGAACCTATCTCTATATATATATATATATATATATATTTTTTTTTTTGGAACCTATATATATATATAGCTAACGAGCAATCAACCTTGAATAAATTGAAGAGTTAGACAGGTATGTCTTATATGTGCTGAAGGTGATTTTTTTTTTTTTTTTTTTTTTTTTAACAAAGCAGTTTTTATGACAAACTGAAAAGTTATTCAATTGCTTGTAAGATGTCTCATCAGTAACTCAAAGAACAAACATATTTTGTCAGCAACTCCCAAGTGAGTGAATTTTTATATAATTACATGAAAAATTATACTAATGACTTCAAAGAGTATACAGAATTTTACATACCCAAGGTAATAAATTTATATGTATCTCTTGAAGCATTCCTTACAGAATTAAGTAGTTCATGACTTTGGTATGTCTTAAAGAAATAATTCTTTAAAATTTCAGGAATATAATTTGCTAGACCTCACCTTCTACATTGCATTCCCTGATACCCACAATTAACTTAGAGTTAATTTAGATACCTTAGGAATTTTTGGTGAGAAGAAAAAAAAATTAAACTTTTATTAGAATACAGGTAAATAAAAAAAAAAAAAAACAACAACTTTCTATCAAATTTTCCATTAATTGTGTGTCATGGTGAATGAGTAGCTACTAGTTAGAGAGTCGTCTTTAATAACAATGAAAATTTCAACTACTCACATGTAGACTTGTTAGAATTTTATTGATTGTTTTTTTATGGCTTATCAACCTTTTACCAGTTATTTGAAGCCAGAAAATATTTTTAGAGTGTAAGAAGTCTTTTGAAATAATGATGATTTACTAACACAAGTCCTACTAATTAACCCATACCGGGGGGGGGAGAAGAGGTGGTTTCATCCTTTCTCCAAGGGTATTTGCACATAAGTGAATATAACAACTCTGCTCTTTGAGTTTTAATTCAGAGCCATTATCCATTACATCCACATCCAAGCTTACAGCATCTGATACTCCCAAGTGGTTACTCATCTAAGTACTAATCAAGCTTGATGTTGCTTAACTTCAGTGATTGTACAAGAACCTGTCATTCAATGTGATATGACTGTAAGCCACTAGAATTTTAGTATAAGTCAGAAAATAATTATTTGTCTATTGTTATCCTCAGCAATCACAACAAACTTATTAACCACAGCAATAAACCTGGCATAATAATTTGTATTATACCCCCTCTGTCCAAATGGGGAGAGCCTGACTGTATTAAAAATCCTGATTCAAAATACTGTGCTTCAACTGATCATAGTAAGAAATATACAAGGTGACTGAAAAGTAACTCCTTATTTTATGTATGAGTGACCAGCCAGGAGTCCTGATTTAACGCCGTGTGACTTTTTTCTTTGAGGGTGGTTAAAAGAAACACATCTACTATAACATACCAAGACTTTGGAATAACTTGAAGGGTGAATACAAGAAGATACCACAAGGGTTCCTGGTGAAATCAGTTGATGTGATTCCTGGGCAGCTGAAGAAGCTGGTAGCAAAACCTGGTGCCCATATCAAATTTTAAATAAAACCTCATGCAAAACACTTTCCTCTGGTATCCATTTCTTGTAAAAATTAATTCAGAGTCATGCTTCTAATTACCAACCAAAGCTGGAGAGCTAGTCTACCCTACTATTAATCTGTAGTTTATGGGTGGGGAGATGGATTCATGCTTTTCTCAAAGGTATTTGTGCAAAGTTTTCTTCATGTATTTACATTTTTATATAGGTAGCTAGATAAATTTTTTTTATTATTATATTGAACCCCTTGGCTCCTGAAGCTCAATCTGGAACCACTTTACTCTCATGAGAGGAATTTCAGTTACAAGCATGACGGGGACAAAATTACTTCAATGACAATTCATAATAGGAGGGAAGAAATTTGACCAAAGTCTTTGAGAACTACTCTTTTGGATTAACTGTTTTATGCAATTAATGAATTTTTCTTTTTTTTTTTTTTTAATCCAGCATTATTTCTTAATACTATAAATGTGATCTTTAGAGGGTACATGTGTTTGTGTAGACCAACCACATTTGTTTTGATTAAAATAGTGGATGTTAATTATTATTGTTATTGAAAAAAGCAAGGATGTCTACTTAAATATGTGTACCCACTAAACGGGGCCAGTATGTACTCCCTCCACCAATTGTTGGCCGGGTTGGGGGGGTTGCTGATTGGGAGCCCCAGGCAGTGCTTTGTCACCCTTGCTATCTTATCAGTATTTGCTTTTTTTTTTTTTAACCTACATTTATATACATTACAAATTAAACTAAGCACAACTGACTATTAAAGGATGAAAAATGTCTGCAAATTCGTTTTTTTTATCGTTCAAATCCATGAATTGTTTTGCTTATGCTAAGACTTGAAAAGACACTATATAAAATTAATTATTATTTTATCAATAATGCTGAATGTCTTCAATTATTCAAAATCTCAAACTGATGATAAAAATTGTCACAAAACTGCCAATTTATTTAAGATGGAATGATCTATTATGATGACATGTCTCTAATTTGTATTTAGATACATTGTATTTTTCTAGTTGAATTGTTCACCTATATTGTATATGATCCATTATATACATAATACATAATTAGGTTACAATAAAATTTGCATTTTATATAAATACTACCTTATGAAAAGTGAGATGTAGTAGAGTGTGTGTAGGGGGGGGCACCGTATCATAGATTGGGGGGTGGGGTCAAGTTAGATTTTGTGCAATTTTCTCTTAATAAGAGAACAGAAACATGATCAGATGTTTTTAAATCATAGTGCGGAAAATATTTGAAAGAAGCCCCCTCCTCCTTTCTAAAAATTAAAACCTCTTGTGTTATATTGGGTATAATACCTCTTAATCTGAATTGATTTAATTTTTTTTTTATTTCTTTTTTTATTTGGGGTGTGTAAGTGCAGCTATCTAAGAGTTTTCTTTTTGCTTTAAATATATTGAAATATTAAGAAAAGAAAAAAAAAAAATTATTAAAGATATCTTACCCATATTGCCCAGTCCTCCTGCACTTCCATGGTATCCATTCATACCAGTTGTGCTATAGCTGCTACTACTACTACTATGTGGAGTGGAACCGTTTGATCCATAACCTCTGGGAGATACGCTTGAACTTTGACCTCGGCCGTAGCCTACTTGAACAAAAATCAGACAAACAGAAAATTAAAAACATTGCAAAATATTTTTTTTTATTTTTTATATAAAGAAAATTTCAATAAATAAAAAATAAAACAAAAATGTGAATTTCTGTTGTTTGTTTTTGATGTAAATTTGAAGAATTGTGAGAAAAAGCACTTTGACAGGAAATCATTCGAATTTTTCTTACTTCAGTTTGATATCTTTTCTGTCAGAATTTATATAATGTGTGTGTATGTATATGAGAGAGAGAGAGAAATTTGTTTTATCTTTTCACAAAGACATCATCCATCTATCATCCTTCAAACTTCAAGTTGTCTATAAGTAATTCGTCTACATAAACAAAAGAGCTACGTAGGTAAGATTAAGAAAAATCAGTAAAATAATGAAAAGGAAAATAAATTCTTAAAAAGAAACAAAAAAAAATATATGCTTGAAAACATGAATGATCATTGCTTGTAACCATTGTTTAACAGGATTTTATTCACAAACTTTTTTGTTCATGTTTGCATCAATAAAAATACCAAGTTGTTATAAGAAAGAACAGTAAGATTTATAATGTGGTGTTCTTAGCAATTATTTAAGAAAAAAAAAGAAAAACAGTGCTCAATACAAACAGTAGAGCATAATATTATAATTATTATTATTTTTTTTAAATATGATTCTATCAGGACACAGAAATTTCTGTTTCAAAACTGAAACTAAAGTTGTAAATTATAAAAATTAAACTTAAAATTCAAAGTTTTGTTCCATTGTCAAACGATGTTAGGAATAACTTTCTAAGAAATTTACTTAATTTATAAGTGCAGACAATCTTAAATTTAACATGACTTTGTAAGTAACATATATTTGATACATAAGTTGTCTAGGGAAATTAAAACACAGCCACCTCAAATCAAAATAGATTGAATTTTCCTTGCCTTAACAACTCAAAATATTAAGATTGTCTGCGCTTATAAATTAGAAAGTTATTCCTAACATTACTTGACAATGGAATAAAACTCTGGATTTTAAGTTTAATTTTTGTAATTAAATTTACAGCTTTAGTTTCAGTTTTGGAATATAGAAATTTCTGTGCCATGATGAAATCATATTTAAATATATATATATATATATATATATATATTTGTTTTTTACATCGTTAACTTTAATTTACTCATAAGCATTGCACACAAAAAATATAAAATCAACAAAATGAAACAAAATATTTATTGGCATTTTTGCCTTTGGAAAGCAGCTTTTACATTTTTTTTCCCCTTGTTTAGAGAAAGTTCGGTTTTCAGGGGGAGGGGGTTGCTATTTTCGTTTTAAGAAATTGAATAAGTTAATAAGCTGACAATAAGAAGTGTCAAAGTAGGTAGCCAAATGAATTCCGTTTCTCCTTTTTATTTTTTTTAATTCATGTAACGTTTTGTTAATTTTTACTTTTGCATTCTTTCTCCCTCCTAACAAACATACTGTTATAATTATTCAGGAAGTTCTGGTCAAGTCAGACACATCTTGAAAGATGAAATGAATTTTTCTGAAGCAATTCACATTTAAGATTAAGTGTCAAAGCTCTTTTTTTTTTTACTTTTTATTTTTTGAAAATATGTTGCAAGAAATATTGCTGAACTGAAATATATTTTTATTTACTTTTTTTTATGTGTGAAAATTTTCTTGGAGAGAATCTTTTTGCAAAATTCCAAAGTGGTCTTAAGTTTTTCAATTATTTAGAATTTGACTTGGACAGCAAAACTGGGCCATATTTGTGCAATGTGATACACTATAAGCATACTAATTTGGATTGTACGAAAATGTTGCTTTATGTTTTTCTCTTATTTTTTTCTTCTTTCTTTTTTTTAAAATTGATATTTGACAACACCTAAGCCTCATTACTCAGATGAATTCCATATGCAACCATTCTCAAGGGAGAGAGATTTAGTTTCCATATGATGGTTTTATTTTAAACGAAACTTACATTTTTATATAAATGTATAAGTATATTTATACTTATATTTAATAAATATATTTGAGAGAGGAAATATAATTCTGTAATGATTTTGTAATAAAAATATAAACATACTGAAGCAAATAAAAGATAAAGAATTATGACTGCTTTTTGATAAGGACAAAAAGAATTTGCTCAGAAATAATTATCAATAATTTGACAAGACTGTAGCTGTATAACCTAATTCAGTGGTTTCAAAATCTGACCTGCCATGACATTTCATCCAACATACTAGCCAAATGGAATATGCTATCCTTAAAATAATAATTTTAAAATTATTTTTGCTGTATAAAATTAATATACATAAACAAAACCTATTTTTTTTTTTTAAGTATGAATGAAAATTACAATAAATATTTTTAAAATGTTTTTTGTTTATATAAGAAAATATTAAAAACAGAATTGTTACTCATCACATTCTTATTGCTTTTTGATAGTTATCTTTTTAATCATAGAAATATAATTACAATATTACTAGTTCTGATCATTTATTCAAGTCTTACTTAATATTTATTCTTTATTTCTGATCAAGGCTGCTTATGATTCTACTAATTTCTACTAACTGTTGTAGAATAAATAAAATGCAATAATGTTGAAAAAAAAAACAAAAAACATGTTAAAAATCAATAATAATGTGAATGTTCCATCTAAGAAAATTAGACAACTTAAGAGTAAATTATTAATATCTTCAGTTTTTAAAATAAAATCACTTTTGCTTTGTTTTTAATTATGGTATTTTAATTTTTCTTTAATTAAAAACAAAAAAAAATATCTAGCAAATAGTGAAGTTTTAATCTCTCAATACAGAAGAGTTTCAAGCAATTTGTAGAGTTTTAAAAGAATGTTTTGATTGAAAAGTAGCTTAAGTAGACATTACAAACTGGAATAAATCTATTTAAGAGGCAAAGAAGGATCAGCGTTAATTTTATCAAAGCTGAACTGAAGCAATGGAAAACAGACGTACAAAAATACTTTTGTGGTGTTTAAAAGCAATTTGTCAAAAATGAAGACAAGAAAATGCTGCTTCACTGCTATTGATGAAAAATGCCTCCTAATATATATATATATATATATATATAGTGTGTTCACATAAAATGTCTTCAAAGTTGCTACAGGGAGGATGCAAAGAAGACAAGCAGACAGAGATAAATAAAATAAAACTAGGAAAATCAATGAAAGAAAAAAAAAAAACACTTATGCCTATGCAGACATATTTTGGGTAAAAAGATGGTTGGGGAAATTTGGGATGCATTTTCAGTTGGAAAAATATATTTTTTTTTTCCTCTGCCAGTTTTAAGAGAACAATGAAGAGAAACTCTCAAATGTATTGCAACTTTAATGAAATAAGAATTAATCTATATAAGGCTGGACAATGTGTGTGTTTTTTTTTCTTTTTTCATTTTACGTAAAAAGCAAAAAAAAAAAAATCATAGTTATCCTTTTTGTTTTCAACATTAAAATTTGGGGTCTTATTTTGAAATAAAAATGTACATACAAAAGAAAAAGATAAGACAACTAAAAAGGATCTAATTTTTGTAATGCAATTTAAATGACAAAATATTCTTTTCATGAATTATTTTAACTGTTATCAATAAAATGATGGTAGTATTAAAGTTTTTGAGATTCTATAAGTTTATACTATCTATTTAATTTTATACTAAAACTACATCATATTGTTTTTAGTAAGTACTGCTCAGTTATTGCTCATCTTTTTCCACTGACACTGAACTATAGAAGTAGCCATTAATGGTTACTACTTTCACAATGACAGTTATGGATTTTCTCTCTTACAAAGTTAGTCCAAAGTTTATTCCATGTACACATCTAAAGACTATCTTTTATTCTCCATATATATATATATATATATATATATATATGGTGCAGTTTAATTTATATTACAATGAATCATTCATACAAGAAGCATCTGAGATGAAAAAATATAATCCAAATCAAAATGTTTTTTTTTTAAAATGTGTTATTGATAATGGATACAAACTTGCGGATAAACACTGAGACATTACTCTACTTATTGAACTATTTAGTTCATGCCACATTGACTGATAAACTCCTACAACAAAAACTTCTTAAATTGCCATATTAGTACAAAAAACGCACTCCCTTAAATTTTCAAAATATTCAACCATAGCATTGTGACTGCATGCTTCGCAATTTTGTTATCCATAACACATTAAAACAAAACACAAAAAAAACATGCTACCTGATTTTTACCAAAAACAAAAGTTTCCATGCCTGATGATGACCAGTAGAACTGTCAAAAGTACTTGTGTATTTAATTATAATTTAAAAAATTTACTTGTATGAATGATTCATTGTAATATATATATATATATATATATATATATATATATATATATATATATATATATATATATATATATAATCAGTTCTATTATTTAAAAATTTCAGATGAAAGCTACAATTATTTGGATTCTTGCAATACTGATGCATTATTTTAAACTGGACTTGAAGCTAAGAGTGGAATTTTGGTAGTTAAAGGAAATGAAACCAAATGTATTGCTCAAAATTGGCTTAGACATTTTAAGGATAGTGTTTACTTCAGAGCTTCATTTCTAGTCAATCATCAGTTGTTATGATGATTTTAAATGCAAGGTAGAGCCTTCAAAGATTTCCTAAATACATAAAACTCCGCCTTGCCCTGCCCCACCTCCAAAAATGAAAGGATTTCTAGATTTTTGATATTGAACATCCTGGACAAATAACATTTCACATACATTTAATGACTTATATATTTATAAATTAATATGTGTATCTCTAATTCTGATTCCTATTTTCTTCATCAAAAATTCCTCATTGCTCACATATTCTGTCCATGATAGTCTCAGCATCCTCCTGTAGAACCAATTTTCTGTTGCATAAAAAGGACATTTCTACTTATTATTCAACCGTCTCTTTCTGATACTGAGGAAAGCTGGCTTGGAGAATTTGACATTCAAAGGGCATTTAAGGCAAGAAGTGCAGTAACGTACCCAATGAACTTGTGGTAGGTTTAGGAGGAGTAATAGAGGGCTAGACATTGCTAAGAGCTACAAAGGAGAGGAAAATGTGGAGAACCATAAAGAGCTGTATTTTTAGTGTTTTGAGTGGGGGGAGCAAAATTGGTTAATACTGATCAATGCTGATGTATCTTTTATTTTAAAATTAGAAAGGTTGGATAAAGGTAACCAACCTTCTTCCCACTGACCATTCGCTGCATCCTGGACACTAACGGCCAGCTGGCTTGTGTAAGTGTTGAAGCTGGACATTGCTGAAGTGTTGTTCATTGCCGGTGAACGAGGGGCAGGCAGAGACAACTGGTTGGGATTGCGTGGCATGCTGTATAAGGCCTCGGCTAAATCGGCAGCCCTTTTCAAGATGATCTCCTGTAATACGGAAAATAGATAAATAATTAAAAAAAAATACAAAGCGAAGAGAAATATATATATAAGAGAGAGAGAGAGACTATATATTTTTTTTCTCTAAAAGAAAATAAAATCACCCACATGAAAACAATAATATTTGGGAAAATTTGGACCTTTGTGCTGGTAAAAAAATGGAGTGTGAAAAGAACGTATTTTTATCCCCATTGACTCCGCTATAATTTTAACTATCTTCCGTTGATTAGAACTGTAATAAAAAATATGAAAATAAATTTATATAGTTTCTTTGTTCTTGAACCCACGCGACAATCGATGTGGGATGAAGAATTGGATTTACTACCTCATGCTGTTCTTTTTATTTTTTTTTTTATTTTTTTTTTTTTTTCAATTGATTTAAAGACGAGCCTGATAGTGTGTGTATGAGTGTAAGGAATTTTCTTTTACAAATAGCAATGACTATAAAGGTAAAAACAGCTCCAAAACAGAATAGTAATCATTAAGCTTTACTTTACTGTTATTTGCAGCTTTCTCGCTTCAGATGTTGGCTATCTATTCGTAATAACAGTGCATTTAACACAATAGTTAACTGTTCGCTCTTTTTAATTTGCATTTTACTGCATGTTCTAGGTTGACAAAAATAAAATAAAATAATAACAAGTATGGATGTGACCTTTTGACGATTATGTAGTTGAACTCTCCGCCGGAAGAGCTATGTTCTTCTCTAATGTTACCCCCTCCCCCCAATCTTTACATTGAGGGTTTGGGGTGAGGGTTGCGAAATTGCTTTTGTCTTTTTCCTCTTGAAGAGATTCAATTCTGCATATTGATTTCTGAACAGAGAACATATGAACATTTTGCAAATTACTGTCAAAGTCGCTTTCACCAGTGAATAAATATGGTTTTATGGCTGTAAATTCCATTTGATTCAAGTAAAAGAGAAAGAGAGAGAAAAAGAAATAAAAACAAACAGGGTGGAGGTAATAGATTGATGTTTGGAAACAAATAATTTTGAAGGATGAATTGTAAAGGAATCGGAATTTAGTTTCTGATGATGTTTATATATATATATATATATATATATATATATATCATATATATCTTATTTGATGACACATAAGACACCCCTTCTCACAAAAAAATAAAAATCTAAAATATCTTGGAAATACAGGGTGTCCCTACCAAAAAAAAAAAAAAAAAAAATGCTAATTTGGTACAGTTTATTTAACTGTTGGAATTTGTTACAGTTATTTGAAACAAAAACAAAGGATAGAAATTTAGTAGCTTAAAACAGAACAAAAACTCAAATGTGGTGTTCATGCTAAAAAAGTTAATTTTTTTTCATCATATCAGTTAGTCATGCGTGATACATGCTTAGGCGATCATGTAACTTTCGATACATGACTGACGAGACAGATTTTTTCTTTTTGCGGTAGAGCAGTTGCTATCCAAGGCTATAGAACTCTGTCCTACTATTTACCCATAGCTGGGAGGGGGAGAAAAAGAGGATTCATACCTTTCCCAATGGTATTAGCACGTAAGTGAATTCGACTGGAATTCGAACTCTGCTCTCAGATTCCTCAATCCGAGCTGCTACCCCTCCTTCATCATATAGTAAATCTAAAATTTCCTGTTTTCTTGTGGGGTACATATGTGAAGCCGTGTTAATTGGTAGGTAAACGTTTACCCAGACGCCAGTACTTGTACCAAGCCGAAATACATAAATTTCTATCTACTGTAAATATATACAAGTCATAATGTCGGCACTTCGACGTAGTGTTATGGTTATCAAAACTTACAACTGAACAGTGAGTTCGATCCTCACTGGGTGCACCCATAATCTTGTTTTGGTGCCACAACTAAGCTACACTTAGTAAATCACTATACAAGTTATATATGGTGGTGGACTCTCCCGTCGTATGAGGGTCAAGCAGCTCAATTCCTAGGAACCAGCAGCCAGACTCCAGCACACATGATTTGATTGTAGTGGTGAAGGCTTTGTGCAGAACCAACCACACTTTTTCAAGGGCCGAATACAGAGATCTGGTGCACTACGAGCCACAAGGCCCCTAAACGACCCTCTGCAGGCTTTGAATTCAGAGTTATCATTCTCTTAGACCAGTTGCCATCCAAGGCTATAGAACCCAGTCTGTTCTGCTATTTACCCATAGCAAGGATTAATGCCTTTCCCAAGGGTGAATGTAATGGATTCGACTGGAATTCAAACTCGGCTCTCCGATTCCTCAATCCGAGCCGCTATCCATTATTCCACCGTGCCTCCAATTATAAATATATTCTTAAACATCCTCATTATTATGTATGATATTTTAAGCAAAAATAATGATGTCACATGCACTGAATTTATTATAACACTTCCGAATTCAAGAATTAATAAGGAATAATAATAAATTCTAAAGACTTCAAATATCTTTGTGTATGGATCAGTTATAATGAATTTAGTATAGGAAGTACGGAAATTTCACATAAAATAGGTTGCATCCGGGTTATTTTTGTCTTACACCATAATATACTACAAAACCAAAATATTAACCTGACAACTAGAGTCATGCTCTTAAATAGCCTCATCACATGTAGACTTTCATATGGAACTAATGCATGATGTCAGCTCATTCAGAAATGTCTATCATCTATATACAACCATTTTCTCATATCAATGATCAAAATGGCTTTGAGTGAATAAATCCTTCAGATCTTAAAAATGATCCTTCATTTAACCCTGTAAACTGACGCTACAAAATCAAAGAGCTTTACCAAATAATAAAAACCACTTGAAAACTTCCAACAGCAACAACAAAAATGAGAAGCACATGTAACTAGATAGGAGAATAATGTATAATCAAGATGTTGAATTTCCACACTGCTAAATACAAAAGGTTTGGAAAGAAACTCCCGTCACTACTGGCAAGAACGATAACTTGTAATATCTAATTTCCAGAAAAATCTGTTTTAAGAAAAAATTTTTTTATAAACTCTTTGGTCAATGAATATTCAATGATTCCTGTATGATAAAAGTTAATTTCTCCATTACCATATTTATAAAGGAAGGAGTGTACAATATTGGTGTTAGAGCGTTTATAAATATAAACTATGTAGACGTAAACATGCGAGGCGAATGAGTTTTATGACTTAAACGATCTTCAGACCAATTACAATGGATACATGATCTAATGACCCCCCCACTCTATATTTGATTTCTTCAGCATTTAATTACACCTCAATGATTACTGACCAATTACAGGTATCCACTAGTAAAAGTCAGTAGTGTCATACTATCAGGCACTATATTCTGACTACTTTAATATGTCATCAATGTATTAAGTATTGAAAGGTGTCGTTGCTGGTGATCCGATGCTGGGTTTAAACTGTGAAAAGCGCTATTTAATTGTTAATGGTCTGTCAGTGAAAAATCAGATGGCGACCTTCAAAGGGGTGGCAAGAAGAAAGCACTGTTATATGGGCTGCTAACAATTCGGTCGCAAGTAGAATATTTTGTCGAGTTGCTGTCAACTTTATGGAAACCAACACGAATGGGTATCGCATCTGTTGTTTGGTATAATGTTGCACCAACAACTTACTGACAATTCTCAGTAACCAAGTGACAGTCAGGCAATTCAAACTGCGACTAAATTGCTTCACAATATTATTAAATAATATTATTAAACAGAATTCTTTTTTTTTCAATATCGGATAATTTGAAAGAACAGTTGGAATATTAATCCATTTCACAATAAAATTCCATCATATCCCCAAATCTATATAAACGCTTTGAATCCATTTGGTATGGGAATGGATTTTTATTCATTAAGCTTTTTTTTTCCCCCCAGAAGGTAAATTTCTTATTTTTATTTAAAAAATGAAGCGTTTCGTTCTAGAAACCTTAGTCTGCAGTGAAAAATTTTTTTTTGTATTTAACAAATTTGAAGGGGGGTATTTTCAGTACCAGTAATCATTGAGCACCTCCAAAAACAATGAATAAAAGTTTAGATCCTGATTTTCGAATAAATACAAGGAAATTTATATCGAAAACCTGAAATTTGGTGCCTAGCATATGGTGCCAAAAGTAGGTAGGGATCAATTTGACGTATCTTCACGAGATCAGTTTTCTTAGATTTTGCAGACTTAAATTCTTTAATATTCGGGAACTTACATTAAAAAGGAGAAATAAAGTTGTTTCTGGCATTTTTCTTAGAGTTATTTGAAGTTAGGAGCAGTAATAAAAAGCAGGCTACATATGGCAAAAATTGTGATAATTTAACTGAATTTTGTGTTGTAGGCCCACTCCCCAATCCACCTGATGTCATTTTTGAAAAAGAGGGTCAAATAAAACCTGTCTGTCATTTATAACACTGAACAATATTCCAATGACTCTCCTTGTAAAAAGTGACAGAAAAAGCAACTATCCAGAACTGATCATCTAAAACTAAATGATTAAACATTTGCGAGTTTTGATTAACTTCAAACGATCATAACTTGACAAATACTTGAAGTTAGGACAAAGTTAAGCCAGTTCTGAAATCCTGAGACTGTCTACTTTCAAACTAGACATGTTACTTGGGAAAGGTCACAAGAATGCCAAATATCCGCTTTTTGAGCCCACTTTGCTCTAATTCTAAAACCAGAATCATTCAAGGGACTAAGTGCTTTACATCTTTTAATTACTATTTTCTCATCCCCGAATGTTTTTCATTATAATTCATCAGAAAAGAAATGATAGATTCTCCCTTGAAAGCACACATCTATATCTGGGCTGGAGCTACACAGTCCTCACTTTTTAGCTTTGATAGAGTTCAAAATTTTTTACGCAGACTTCTTTTCCACTTTGCAACCTCCTTCGCTACAGACACAACGTTGCAATCCTTTCATTACGCTATCGCAGTTTGTCATGATAAATGTTCAGATGAACACTATTCTTTAGTTCCACCATTTTGCTGCCTGGATACGAATTGCTACTTCCACAGAGTCGAATCCCCTTCATTTCCCCCGTGTTCTTAATGTAAGAAGGAAGATCCACTTTGGCGGATTTTTTTCTTTTTTTCAAGAACTGTCACTTTGTGGAAGTGATTTCAGCATAGACGATTTCCTGAATACTTTAGTCTTGGCCACTTCAAGGGTCAGCTATCTATCCCCCTTATCCTCACTCCTACCACCTTCTCTTCCACTCATATCTCCCACGTCACTGATTATTACAATTTCGACTGTATATTTGGGGGGATATTCATTGTAAAATGTTAATAACCTATGAGGTGTGCGATAAGAATGAAAGAGGAAGTGGTAGGAAGTACAAACTATGAGGATAAGGACGAATTCTACTATCTACTTGGGCGGTTCCCGGGACTTTTACTGGGTGCTATTTAGTTAACACGTTGGCTGCCAGAGATCAAATATGAAATTGGACTTAAAAACGCCAACGTAATAATAGTCAACTTAGAGAATAAAATATTTTTATATGTTGACTTATAGCTTCAACTGAAGTCTTAACATTTGTTTTCACATTAAAAGTATGACTGTGAATAAACTTAAATTTCTTGTATCCGAAAATGCTAGGCACGAGATAACTCGTAGTCATAATAGAAAAAAAACCCTACTAAACACGAGTTAACTCGAGGTTAGTAGTAAATGTGTTTAAAAAAAGAAAGCAAAACAAAAACAAGCTCCTTTTTTCTTCTTACTGTAGAAATTGGTAAAGCAGGTAAATTTTCTTGATTTTTTATGTACTAATTCTCCCCTATTCTGACTCAACGGGTATTATAGATAGTTGATTCTTAAATTATTTTCTCTCTTCTGCAGCCTTCTGAGCGAATCATAGATAGATAAAATATTATTGATATATATATATATATATATATATATATACATACATACCCAAGAGGATAGAATCCAGGTAGAACTCAATGTCCAGTTCAGAGGAAGAATATAATATAAAAGGCTCAAACACTAATATTCCATGGTTATAATTTATTACATTGGAATCGTGATTACGATTTCAATATAATAAATTATAACCATAGAATATATATATATATATATATATATATATATATATGTGTGTGTGTGTGTATATATGAGAGAGAGAGAAAAGAAATTACTCTAATAAGATTGCAACTGACTTAAATATGTTTGCTGTGAGTCCTGATCTGGAATCTCAAGGGAGTTGTCAACTTACGAAACGGTGACAGGTCCTATAAGCTTTGTGAAAACATATATCAAGATCTAAGTATATACATCCATCCATTCACCCAATAACCCTCATGGTGATGGTAATATTAACTGTTTCCAAATAAGGAAACATTTGGCATTCATTGCTCGAGCGTTTTTCTTCACTCACTGGCCATCGGACTGGGATCAAACCCTACCCGTTCTCCACATCATAACATTAACCTTTGTTTTTTTACAGCTTATCAATCTTTTGCAGGTTATTTAAAGCCAGAAAATATTTTTTAGATTGTAGGAATTTCTTGGAGATATAGATTTACTGATACAAATCTTATTAATTAAGCCATAGCTGATGGGTGATGAGAAGAGGTGAATTCATATCTTTCCCAAAGGTATTTGCGCGTAAGTGAATATAACGAACCCGATTAGAATTGGAACTCTGCTCTCCTATTTCCAATTTCGAACCGTTATCCATTACACCACCTGAACATACAAGCTTACAAAACCTGGTATTCCCAAACTGTCCCCATTTAGGTACTGATGTTACATAACTTCGGTGATCGTATGTGAATTGGTGTTTCAACGTGATATAGCCATAAGCCAAAACGTTTAGGATGTGAGTTGAAAACTGTACAAAGCAGATAAACCTCAGTGTTGTTATTTTCTTCAGAAACATTATACTTACTTTGGGTAGTCTTTCTGGGTCACCTGGATGTCTTGGGACCAGCTTCATAAGCCTCTGAAATCCGTAGTCTATAGTTGGTTCTGTTAGAGCTGCAAGGAAAGGGTAAAAACACTTATATCAAAGAACAAACATATTGATTGATTTATTTGTTTTTTTACGGCTTATCGAGTCTTTGCAGGTTTTTTTTAAAGTCAGAAAATATTTTTACATTGTAAGAATATTTTTTGAGAAAGTACAAATTGGGGATACTAAAATCAAACAAGTAGAGAAATTTAAATATATGGGAAGTGTTCTAACAGAAGACGGAAAATGTGACACTGAGATCCGAAGACGTATTGAGATGGACAAAGACGCATTCCAAAAGCTAAGCAGAGTATTAAGAGAGAGAAAGAAAAAAAAAATGTTGAAACAAAGAAAAGAGTATTTGTCCTCCTGTATGGCAGCAAATGCTGGACAATCTCCTCAAAGATAAAGAGAGTTGAAGCAACAGAAATGTGGTTCAGAAAGATGTTGAGGATAGTATGGATCGAACATGTGAGCAACGACGAGGCTTTGGAAAAAATGAAACCAAAAAGAAAACTTAACACCAGGAAGAGGTAGTTGAAATTTCTCGGGCACGTAATGAGGAAAGAGGGCTTGGAAAATCTGATACACTCAGGACAGATTGGGAGAAAGAGGGACAGAGGAAATTAGCGCGTAACGTAGTTCAGCAAATGAATGGGGAAAAAGGGGTTTGGGAGAAATTACAAATTGACAACTTCTTAAGAGCTATAAGGGACAGGAAAATGTGGTGGGCCATGATCACCTACGTCCTGAAGTGACACGGCACATAAAAGAAGAAGAATGATTTAGTGATACAAGTCTTACTAATTAAGCCATAGCTGGGGGAGAAGTGGATTCATATCTTTCTCCAAGGTAATGTGAATATAATGAAACCAACGGGAATTGGAAGTGGTAGTGACTAAGCTTGATGTTGCTTAACTTCGGTGATGTTACGGGAACCGATGTTTTAACATGATGTGGCCATAAGCCGCATTGCAAGATTGCAAGAGGTAGATTAATTCAATTTATTTAATAATGATTTTCCATTAAAACTATTACCAACTGAACCGCCGCTTATTCCTGCAATCGACTAGAATTTTAATTCCTTTTATGAAATTCATAAGTTTAAAATAAAAATGTATAATAATTTGGGAATCAAATATCAAGACCGAAAAAAAGAGTTTTCTGGAATTGAATTAAGGCTGCATAAAGTTCAAATGCATTAGACTAAGTGACATGGCGATGAAATAAAATAGTTGTATCCGTAATATCAGCAGCAGTATTCGTATTGGGAAGAATATAGTGAAAAATAACGTTGATATTTACTTACCTCCACCATAGTGGAGGGACGTGACACAATGTCGGTTTAATATGGATTGCTATACATATAGGTCACGGACAAACACTGCACACTGTCATGCTGACGGTCTCCACCCATATTTTAGTGCAATGAGGAAGGTGCTGTCGCAGGATAAGTGAAAAATGACTAGTTTACAATATGGCTCCAGTATATATATATATATATATATATATATATATATATATATATAATACTAGGAAAGAACAGTGATATTTATAATTCAGAGTTCTTAGCTTTTATTTTTATTTAAAAAAAAAAAAATCAGTGCTCAATACGGTACGTAGGGCTTAATATTATAATGATTTTTTTTAAAAATATGATTCCATCGCGACACAGAATATCCTATGTTTCAAAACGGAAAACTCCAAATCTAGATTCATTTTAAAAATTAAATCTACAATACAGTTTCGTTTCATTATCATACGATTTTTAGAATATATATAAAAGGAAAAAATATATGAAAAAGTGGAAAAAGAGACATTTTACAAAGTAGTACATCAAATGCGTTGGTTGCCCACCGTAACGAGATTGACCACAATTTTGACATAAAAATTGCTACTCTGATCAAAGGAGAAAACAGTTCACTATAACGAAAATGTCTACAAAGTGCCATGATTGCAAGATCATCCAGAACATTTCACCATTCCTGGCAGATCTTCTATTATCACAGGGTGGGATTATCTAATAACAAAAGTGATGGGAAGAAAAAAAAAATCTAAATGAAATTGGCAAGATAAAAAAAAAAATAAATTAAAAATTCCCAGCCTTCATCGTTCGAGCGCAGACGTACCAACATAACAAATTTAGTCTGATGAAGTCCTATCCTAAAAGGCGAAACGCGTCACACGAAAAACATTTTCTACTTTGCCATGCATTTCCCCGTTATCGTTCTTGATATATATATATATATATATATATATATATATATATATATATATATATATAAAAATCTTTCGCAGTACTTTTTAAACTTAATTTGCATATATTTCAGTACGTACACGCACAAACACGTTGCGTTACGAGTCCCCTCGGGATACCACGTTTATTGTGGTCATACAAGCAATGTGAAACGTTACACACAATATGTATTTGTTGTGTTTTATGTCCCTGCCAAAATTCAAACTGAAGATATATTCCATGTTTTACTACATTTGATCACTATTAATCGTTTTCTTTTTAAGACGAGGAAAATTTGTCTGTTTGAATCAAGTTCCGCAGATTGGGCTACATTTTAAACCTCAGGACTTTTAGATATTGAATGAAAGTTTTTTTTTTTTTGTCATTAGTATCTCCAAAAGTCTCAAGTGGGTGAAATTCAAAATTTAGTATCGTAAGTCTTTGAAAAAAAAAAATTGTCGAATCTGGCAATCCAGTTCTGATGTATATTTCCTCACGTTCTCACCAGATGACTTCCTTCTGGGTAAATCACCGACTAACGCTACCCCCATCCAAAATTCACAGAAGCGTAGCATACTCATTCTCGATAAGTGACCAGAGATGCAAGGAAAGGTGATGGATAGAGATTTAGTAAGAGGAAGCACAAGAGAGCAAGATGTGTTGAAAGAAAGGAGAGGAAAATGCATGCATTCCATGGAGAAAGAAACAGTTAAAGTTATTCAAACAATAAAACGGAAGCGAAAAGAGTATTGTATGGAGTTTATTACAGGCATCTAATAGGCACAGGTCCAGCGGATAATATTTATAGAATAAAAAAAAAGTAAAGAGAAAAAGCAGGGGTTCGTAATGAAACAGTCTGGAAGAGAACTATCAAAGTTAGAAAGGATAAAATTGGAATTCTGTCGAGCAGAATGGTAAGTAGGTAAGAGGGTCTTTGGTAGTATCAGTTCCGTGAAGATCACGACATTTCACTAATTAGCAATCAGATTGGCATGCATCAAATTTATGACATAGAGAATGAAAGCAAACAAACACAACATTTAATCTGTCATATTGCAAAAAGCTTACTTTTTAATTCACTTTACTCTTCCTCAAATACACTGTCTTTTTTCTATATGTTTTTGTTTGTTTTTTCCTAAATACGTTATGATAAGGAAGTTTATTATTATGATAATGCATAATGATACAAAAGATAGTTTAAGTGGGGACAAGAATATTAGGGAGAAAATATTTGTCCCCTGAAAACCAGACACAAAGAATACAGGATAGTTAGAAGGAATGGAAGGGAAATGGGATCACACTACTCTTCCACGTTCAAATTATATATAGGACTCATCACGGGAAGATGAAGTTAAAGGAGGTGTGTATGTGTATATATATATATGTGTGTGTGTGTGTAAATAAAAAGCCAGGCCAGTGTGTATTTCAGCTTGATATGAATTTCTCTGAGCAACGAAAGTGGAGAATATTTTTGTGTATTAAAATATATAGAGTAACTGGTGTTAAATATGTTGTTAAAATGGGTTGAAATAATCTTTTTCTAAATTGATGGTAAAGGAGTGCCCATTACAAAATAATCCAATTTTGCTTATCTTTGCATCATCATTGCTTTTCTCCTCCTTTTTTTTTTAAGAAGAAAGAAATAAAGTATGAAAAACAAACATTTAAGTGACACGAGTAAGGAAACAGGATAGCTGTCAAGTGGATAAACGAAAAGTCTCTCTCTCTCTCTATATATATATATATATATACACACACACACACATACATACATACATATTTGTAGGTCTGATGAATTGGATCGTATTTACGATTCCAATGGAATAAATTATGACCATGGAATATTAGTGTTTAAGCCTTTTTATTATATCCTTACTCTGTCCTGGACATTGAGTTCTACCTGGATTCTATCTTCTTAATATATATGTATGTGTATGCAGCTATATATATATATATATATATATATATATATATATATATATATATATATGGACGACGACATTCGTTCGCAATTTTCAACTGGTAATTTTACACATATTTTGTTGTTTTTACTTTCTTTGTTGGTCTTTTTTTTTTTGCAGAATAATTGACCACGGACAATTTTGACCCCCCTCCCCAAAGTTTGTGAAAGACTCGTGGAGCTCTCCTTGAAATCTGCGCCGGAAGGACAAACAAGGAGACTTCCTCGACATCAGCAGAAGGATGGTGGAAAAAGTCAGAAAAGAGCTGGACGAATCAGGATTCGACTATGAGGCAACATCAGAGAAGAAAACCTATGATCGACGATCTAACTCCGTCAGAATACCTCAGTACCTCGCTGAAGATCAGGAGATCATCAACAATGATCCCTGCAAGTCGATTGGTGTCAATGCAAAGGAGAAAGGTGAGGATGAAAAGCTCATCACGCTGGTGGTGCCTAAGAGCATTCGCTACTTTTCATTCAAGATGAGGAAGGGACAATTTCAGGAAGCCTATTGTTAACTATAATTTCCCATAATCTGCCAGGAGAGACGTAAATGAAGGAAAAGATTACATTTCGTTGTACGAAACTGAAGCTAGCAGATATAAAAATCGTAGAGAGAAACATGGCTTCTTTAACAAGTTATTCTGACTTAATTTTTTCTGTAGTAGGACTCCTCAAGTTAGGGAAATTAAGAGCAACCGGCCTGTTTCATAAAATAAAATAAAGACTGATAAAATCTTTGATGAATGTCCTGAAATGATTTGGTGGAGGGTTTGAACCCCGTGGGCGCAGAATTCTGACAGTGATGCACTGTCTTTGTTTTAGTTTTTATATAACAAAAAAAGTACGCGAGGACAGTAACGTTCATGGTAATGGGTAACTGGTCAACCGGTTGAAACCCGTCCTCTCTATTTCCTCTCTTCCTCCAAGAAACGATACTACAAATACGGTCCTCAATGAAATAAAGCGACTAAAAAGAAAATTGCCCGTTGTTGGTGTAGGGTTGTGAGGAATTGAAACTAGAGACGACAGGAAAAGCAACCTGAGGCACCCAGTGAGAATCGAACTCGCAACTCAATGGTCAAGTTTATTGTTAATTCTGGGGCAATAGTTAAGGCCGGTAAATATACTGGCTATAAAATATATCCTGAATGAACTAAGTTTAGCTTCGTTTGGCGCAAGGCTGGAAATCTGAAGCACCCAAAGAAATTCGAGCTGTCTACTCAGTAGGAATGAACTATCAGGGAAGCCCTATTGTTAACTATATCCTCAATAACGAGGAATTTCGGTTGGGAAATATGTTGGTTATAAAATGTATCTTGAACTTACCTGTATATACAAATCTTCCGGGAGCCCCTTTACAAAACTGTTTTGATTTGTAGGATAGGGTTACCTCCACTACTCCTGGAATGTGTCGTGGGGGTGTTTGCACTCGTATTGCATGTGAAGTAATCAACTGTAGAAGAGGAAATAAAAAGAAAAGAGAAAAGCATAAGAGATTGTGAGAAAAATCAGCAACGGAAATGGCTGTAGAAAGAGAAGAGTGGCGTGGAAGATAAACAATCTGTTTGGAGAAGACAAATAAAAGCAATAAACTTCTGGCTTGTTTCTCTGATGTCAAGAACACTTGAGGATCAGATAATCATTCTTTGAGTCTACAATAGTTGACATAATCAAAAGTAATTTCTCATAATCTGTCAGGAGAGACGAAAATGAAGGAAAAGAGAGTACGGGAAAAGATATACATAAATGAGAGAGAGAGGTGTAAGAGGTAAGATTAAGGAAGAGAGAGAAGGGGTGGAGAGTGGAAGAAGGATTAAAAGAGAGAGGGGGATGTGAAATAGAGAAGTGTAAGGGTACGTTTAGGAAGAGAGAGGGAGATTAGATTGATAATGAAATGTGGAAAAGATCAGATTATGAGAGAGGTAGGATAGAGAGTGAAAAGTGGAAGACGTCGGATTAAAAATGAGAGGGAGAGGTGGGAGTCACAATGAAAGGTGAAAGAGGTAGGATTAGAAGAGAGAGAGAGATGTGAAAAAGAGAAGTATTAGGAAGAGAGAAGGAGAGGAATAAGAATGGAAGTTGGAAAAAGTAATGAGAGAGAGAGATTGAAGAGGTAGGATTAGGAGAGAGAGAGAGAGGGGAGTGGAAAATAGATGTAGGATTAGAGAGAGTGAGAGAGACGTGGGAAAAGTAAGATTAGGAAAGAAAAAGAGGTGGAAGAAGTAGAATTAGGAGAAAGGGAAAGAGGTGGGATAGATAGTGAATGTTGGAAGAGGTAGGATTGAGGGACAGGGTGGAATAAGAGAGGAGGAGGAGTTAGGATTGAGAGAGAGAGAGATATGGAAAAGGTAGGATTAAAATAGGCGGGGATCTAATAATTTTGTTCCTATCAGATCAGTTCCCATCATTCTTAAAAGCCTTCAACTGATACCAAATTTTCTTGAATCAAGAGAAAAATGTTTCGTTTTTAATATCAGAAAAAAAATATCGGGATTCAAGATTTGATGGAATATAAAAAAAGGAGACAGCGATTGAGAAAAGGAAACGAAAACAAATCTTAAATATCAATCTCTCTTGATAAAGACAAAAATCAAAAAAGTGCTTTTAACTACTTGTAAAATATAGATTATTATTTTCTTTTGGTAAAAACCAGAAGTGAGTTATTAATTTTTAACTCTTCTTCCTTTCAACTTATGTCTGTTGCTTTTATCGCAAATCTCTGGTCGTTATTACACGACTGTAATTAAATTAGTAGCATAGATGGGAAATAAAGAATCAATCTCCAGTGAGATCTGAACTCAAGAAAGGGCACCGCGTACGATAGATATGGGAATTAGAAACACATAACTCCATGGATTAAACGATTTCCAGAAAGTTAACAAATGCTAGATTTAGCGTTTTCAGTTATATACCTTCGGTCTGATGAAACTTGCTGGTCGAAATAAATCGTGATTTATTACCGTATTTTCGTGACGTGTTAAACTTTTCCTTGATGTATATATAATGCACAAAAAGTTAATGGTCAGAGTTCGATCAAACCAAAAACCAGTGGTATTAAAAAGTGCCCAATGCACGTGTGAAAAAAAAAATAAAATAAAAGTAAAAATAACATGTAGAGCTTTTAACACACACACACACACAATATATATATATATATATATATATATATATATAATGATAATGCTTCGTCAAAGAACTTTGTACATTATCATTCTACCCAACATTTGATGTCGTATAAACATGAAATATTAGTCAAATATTGTGAGCTCAGATCTTGCTGGAGGCTTTTTATTCTCGATTCGTATTACTTCCTTGATAGTCGTTGAACAACGATCTAATATTTGCAATAAAAAGGAAGAAATAAAAGGAAGAATATTATATATATATATATGTGTGTGTGTGTGTGTGTGTGTGTGTGTGTGTGCGCTCATGACGTAGTCTAATGAAGGAAAAACATTCATTTTACGCAACAAATATTTTCAACAATCTCTTGCAAAAAGGTTGCTTTTTATTGTGAATAGCAAATTATAGAAATTTGCTATATCTAGGAATATACATGAATCAACACTTAGGCATGAGACTGACAGATTCATTCACTTTCTCTCTCATACAGGTAAACAATTTCTTAATTGAAAGCTTTGGAACCAAAAACTGATTGAAATGTTCGGATTGATACGATGAGCACGGTATATAGGCAAACAGTTAGGGAGTTGTTATTGTTGATGTCGCTATAACCATACACACAATTATTGACACTGAGGTAGGTAAATTAAACTAAACAAATAAAACTAAAGTTTACTTGGTAAATGAAATGAAATAACTTCAAGCCATAACATTTGTGGCAGGAATAAAAAATAAACAAAACAAAAAAAACTCCAGTAATTTTTAAAGAAACAATCGAATTTTAAAGCTTTTCGTTTTTTAATGCGCTTAATCCAATACTTATCCATTAATCACATAAATCCAATATTATGAAGAAATGATTTCAGATCAAAATTCAGTTAATAACCTAATCGGGTTGCAGACTTATTGATCCAGCCACGGACGGGATTTATGAGTATATGGATTTATTAAACAACTTTTGTTTAGGTCTTTAATCTTTGTCGAAAAATAAAACAAATTATACAGATAAAAATAATAATAATAATAATTTGGTATAAATGATTTTAAGTTATAGACAAGTTTGAAGTTTATAGGCTCATGTTTGACAAGAGCGTAACACGTATCAATCAATCGTTGATTGATTTGGTTTTTGCGGGTTACCAACCATTTGTGGGTTATTTAAAACGAGTATGACCACCACTGACAAGGTTTCCCTCTACTAGAGTTTGAGAATTCAGGGTTGTTTTCCTAAAACGGTTGCCAACTAAGGCTGATGTGCCCAGTCTACTCTATCGATTACCCCGACCCCCACCACGAGCATCATCCTGTCCATCGAAGTACCCGAAACTTGTCATTTACTAAGCTGAGTCTTATTTGGCACAAGTTTATAAAGATAAGGCACGCAGTAAGGATCGAATTTACTACCCAGTAGCTATACTCAACTAAACTCACCCATTAACCAAAGGGGCATCAAGGAAAAATATAAATGTTGTAACCTAGGGAAGGTTACTGAATAGAAGAATCGCACGAAGGTTAATAATGAACGATAATACTTAGGACAAGAACAACACATATAAGATTCGCCAGCGGCGCGTAGAAATAGTAGTAGAAGTGAGTCAAGTGAATTCCACAATGAATTTCCAACTGCAGGATATCTATCAGCCGCCCCACGCGGTCAGATATAGCACAGGACCGAATTTAATGTAGGCTGTATTTAATGTAGGCTCGGCCCCAAATTCCCCGTAAACCCCGTTTAAAACGGAGGTCGGGTAGCTATTTCCCGACACGAGACTCTGCCCTTCGACATAGCCTCGTCTGGGGATCCTCTCTGAACGGAGGCAGAGAGTTTGATCAGCCCAGCTGGAGACGAATTTCCAACTGCAGACCAACATACAGTATTTACTACTGTATTTATGTGAATGGGGACATATCCATTATCGTCCGTAGGTATACTACAATAATAAGTTATTGATAAAAGAGGAGACATGTAGTTCTACAGACTGATGTCGTGAATACCATTGACGAAACATGTGAACAACAAAGAAGTTTTAAGAAAAATGAAAACGAAAATGACTTAGAAAGCGACAGTTGAAATTTCTGGGAAACGAAATGAGGAAAGAAGGTTTGGAGAAACTGGTACTCAGAGGACATATTGCGGGGCATAGAGAAACATCGAGTAACCTACCTAATGTGATTGTGTAAATTAACCACAGAACAGTAACAAGAGAGCAAAAATTGGTTAGAGCTAAATAGGGTAGGAAATTGTGGAGAGTCATGATCGCCCAAATCCTGAAAGGACACAGCATATAATAGGAAATCTACATTACCCTGTACAAACAAGATGGCTTTGTCGAGGCTACATGACCACCACTCAGGAGAGTAGAAAAGGGAGGAAAAAAAAGAAGAAAGCTGGTGAGAGAGGAGGGGGTAATTCGACAGTTTGTTATAGTGCAAGTCCTAGTAAAGATCAGTATGCCAAATACAGATTTTCAGACCCTCCTCAAATTGAAGAATTGGCTCAATACTAGCTTCCTATCTGGCTTTTATTTCGAAGAAAACCGCGCATATTTTAGGATGTCTTCTGTTAACAAAGTCCATCGCTCTAGCAGACGAATTCGTTTGTGTACTGAAATATATTCTCACTGGGTGCCCCTCTCATTATTGTGTTCAGCTAATCTAAACACAGTAAATAAATCGGGAGGTGGGGTTAAAGAGGCTGGTGTGGTTTGTTATGGTTACGTAAGTGGTCAAGAAAAGAAAACAAAAAGAGAAAGAGGCCATCTTAAATCAGACTTGCCGAGGCAAAGGCACTCGCTACAACTGCTCACGACGAAGTTGCAACAAGACAACTAACAACAATAATAAGCCTCTCCGTTATATTCATCCCTTTTTCCGTCTCTCATTCTTTATTTAGCAAACGTTTTCTATTCAATTGCTGTCACTAGTCTTAAAGGGACGACTTTTTTCATGCGCTACTTCAACTTTTAACATTCTGCTGTAGAGATTACAGTACACTCTCCAAATTTTGTTCATATTATCGTCTGTCGCTACTATTAGGACTAACAGGGTGTCCGTACAAAAATGGTTGGTACTTCAGTCTAGAATCAGAATATCTGATCTCTACTTAGGAATGAAGGTGTCGTTTCCAGACATTTTTGTAGGTTCAGTGCAATTTTGTACCAAATAGAAGTACCGTTTGGAATAGTCATCTTAGTGGAAATGTTTCAACTTGTAAAAAGTAAGCGGAGAATCTTTTATTCCCGAAACAAAATAATCGTGCCGAGGGTGGGGGGACGTTAAATTGGAATTGAATAACTGAAATTTAATAGTGCGACATTTGCATTTGGTATGCAATAATGTCTAAGCACTCTGTGATTGATTGGTTGGTTTTTAACGGCTTGTCAACCTTTTATGGGCTATTTAAAATTGAAATATATTTTGGATTCTAAGAATAACTTTTTTTTTTTGCGAGCGAATATTGCATTAACAATTTTTGAGAATGACAATAACTTTTCCAGATACAATACTATTATTTATTTCATAGCTGGAGGAGAAGATATCACTCAATCCCTATCTTTCCAAAGAGCGTTTGTGAGAAAGTGAAAGTAAGGAACTCGACCTGAATTCGAACTCGGATAACGAGTCGCTATCTATTATATCATAAACACATCCAAACACTATCTGAAAAGTAATATACACATATTTTATATAAAATAAAATGCTAAAAAATTATCTTGACTCATCGGGAATTTGATAGTTAAATTGAATTTAGTAAAATAAATCACATATTGCTTAAAAGACACTATATAATTTCTCTAAAAAAAAAATGATATTTTTTTAAAAGACGTTATTGCATTACGTAATACAATTTGAAATTGTTCATTTCTTTTGTTTGCTATTAGTGCTTATCTTCTGAACATTGATCACTTTATTTACAAAGAGTTTGTTACAAAAGCGCGTTCGTTATATTTACATTATATTTTTTTGCGAGTACACTTAAAAAAAGGTTATGAATACAGCTATTCTATTTATAGGTAAGTAGCAGAACAGACCTGGCCCTATAGCCTTTGGTCTAGGAGAAGGACAGCTTTCAATTCAAAACCTCCAACTATGGGTTAAATAGCCTCACCTATCCACAATTAGCCAAGCATTGCGAGTATCGATATACTTCTGAAGACATGGACAATCAAGGAGAGCGCTTCTCCAACAGAAGCGAGAAGGCCCTGGATTTGGATAAGGTGCCCTTTTGGTGGCTCTGGTAATATATATATATATATATATATATATATATATATAAGATGAGAAAGACAAAAGTAGAAGGTAAATCATAAAGATGAAGATAAAGCGGTGACACTTTTACACCTTTCATTTTTTTAAAAATAGGTGAAGCATTAATTTAATAGATTTTATATATTGGAGCGTGTCGTACATCTTAAGTAGGAAGGTAAGCAGATATTGTGATTTTAATTCATAAATTGCTATTATCATCCGCAAACATTTTAGCTATTCTCCTTGTCACATGTGTGCATGCGCGTGAAATTTTATGGCATTTTTACCTTATTTGTTAACACCAGGGATTTTTGAAAGCGCTGTATTTTTACTTCCGTATACTCTCTCTGCGTGCGAGACTAAAGAAAAGAATTTGATGGGTTATCAACGTTTAGTTTTTAAAAAAGATAAACTGTACTTTTTTCTATTTTTTTTTTTTTTTGTGATCTTTCACGAAAAGAGCTTATAAAGTAAAACAAATTTTGGGGAAAAAAAATGAATTCAAAGAAAATCAAATTTGGAATCTTAAAATAAAAACTGAAGGAGATAGAAGCGTTAAATAATAATAATAATAATAATAATAATAATAATAATAATACTAATAATAAAAGAACAGGAAAAGATTGTAAGGGTTTATCAGGAAAATCATTGCCTCCAACAATGAAATCTGAATGTTTTAACAACAAGCTGTTTATAGAAAGAATGTTCTCTTTATTTGAAATAGAGCGAATTTCTACTTTTATTATTGGTGATGGCAGATTTTATATAGTAATCATCATAATTATTAAGTGATACGACGCCTACTCATTATTAGATTATTATACTGACTATTATTTTTTATGAAAAAAAAATTGCCCGTTTACTTATTAAGTAAACAATATCGAAATTCTATTGATAATTACAAGCAAAAAGCACTCAGATGATTTAGGATAAAAATTACTTTAATAAACTTTATTTTCATGATTAGCGATTTCAAATAATTCTAGTTCTTGTGTTTATATTATTTGACGCATTTTTTTATATTTTATTTTAAGATTTGTATAGCTTTTCTAGTGGCTTTATTATTTTGCTTGGGGTGAAATGATTAAAAAAAATACATATAAATATTTATAGAATTATCCTTATGATCACAAATGTTTTCTATCCTGGGACGTAATACAATTAGATTAGATAATTATATTGGAAATTCGTGGATTCCAGTTTTAGAAAGTAGTCCCATGTAAATTCTAATACTAAGAAATGAAATGTAGAAATAAGAAATGTTGATTTTACATTATTTCAGTGTCATGGTTCATTTTCAATGACAGCGGTCATGTACAGTAACTGTGCAATAGCAATTAGTAGCACATAAGAAAAAAAAAAAGGCAAAATTAATTTCAGGGAAGTTTCCAATGAAGAAATATTATGAAAAGTAAAATATATATTTTGGGAGGAAAACAGTTTTGTGAATTTTTTTATTTTTTATTTTCAAAGAACACAAATATTTTTGTTGTCCGGATATTAATAATGAAAGATAAATTGTCTTCCACCGAACGCTTAAAGCAGCAATTGTTACTATGGAAAATAAATTCATAATAGAAAAACCGTAAACGTCTCTAAGAAAGAAAACAATAAACGCTTTTTATAATTTATGTCGACCAGTATGTTTTTAGCATTTATCCTAATGTACACAACTAATTTGTATATTCTGCTTTAAAAATCAATCTTAACAAAAAATATTTATTCATTTCAAATAAAACTCTATAAAGGGTGTGGTAGGAGCAAGAGGGTAGTCAATAATATTGCATAATACAAAATATTTTTACAGAATAGTTAATTGGATTAAAAAACACTTTATGAAAGTATGCTTCTCTGTTATAGTAAATTGTGAAGTACTTTGAAGATGATGGTGGGATTTTGAATCTTGATTTTCTTTTTTTTTTCTCGATGATTTAGAAAATTAATTAATTTTCATATGATGATTAATTATATTCAATAAGATGGATAACGATGATTTTGTCATTAAAATAAATGTTTACTTTTTGTTAATTTCCCTATTAATTCTGAGTGGGTATATAAGAGGGATAGTAAAAAAAACTTCTACCAGGAATCATAGAAAGAAAATAAAATGACTATTATGAAATATTTTCAGAAAAAAAAAATGCATAAAACATTTTTCATTAAATTTCTCACATTAAACTTTTACAATCAGATGCTCTTTCCGATACCAAATCTTATATGAATTGGTTGAGTAATCACCATTTGATTAATTAATCAGAGAAAACTGTTTAAGAAAACTCAGACAAAATCTGCATGCCGCCCCTACACATTTACAAACGCACACACATTTATGAATGAAATGATAAAATAACTCGCTGAACGCAGATTTCCCAAAGGAGTTTCTTTTAGCGTTTCAAATATCCGAATAAAAATAATACTCTTGCTTCTGGAAGTATTTGCACTTTAGTTTTAACACCTTTTTGAGTTATTAGCACGGAAAGAATAACCGAAATCTCATATATAGGTAGATGATAAGTTAAATGAATTAATATGAATACAGAAAATTAAGCACATTAAGAGCGCACATATATATATATATATATATATATATATATATATATATATATATATATATATATATATATATAGAGAGAGAGAGAGAGAGAGAAAGAGAGAGATGTGTGTGTGTTTCTGTACAGATAAGAATATATATGTGTATGTGGGTGTTTCTGTACGGATAAGAATATATATATATATATATATATATATATATATATATATATATATTTGTTTGTGTGTGTGTGGCCATAGCTTTTCTCATCAGCTCTGTCTCTTCATACATACTGTTATCCCACCTTTCTTATTCTTTTTCTTTCAGTTTTGCTCAGATAATAAAAAAAAAGGGAAAGCATTTCGGCAAGTCTATTCCTTTCCTACTCCTAATATGTTTTTGGGGGATGGATTTTTGTTTTTTTGTTTTTTTAAGTGAGGGGATGGGCAAATAAATGAAGTGGAGGGTAGGTTGCGTGGGATGAAACGGAATGTAGTGGCGCAGGTGTCTCACTAAAGAAATCTCATCAATAGCCTGATGCTATCTGCATTTGGTTTATTCATGGTGTTGGGTGGTGACGGTGAAGGAGGTAACAAAGAAAATTGCAGATAAATTCCAATCAAAATGCTGTCAAGAGTAAAAGGGAGAGACTGAACCTACATACGGATACACACTGACCCAGACAGCCAAACAAGAAAACAACCGAAAAAGCTCTCAAGAAATCAAAATAAATTTTGTCTTCTTACTAAAAATCCTTTAAGGATTTAGTGACTTTAAAAATTGGGCTAATCTGTTTTTAGAAGCAAGGTTGGAGGCTGCCTCTAAAGGGAAGGGAATCTCCAGCTCTTGTTGTTTCGGAATGGAGGCAGGGAAGCAGATATAAATTCGAGACGATCTTTGGTTGAATTACAAATTTCACAGAAATGATTATGTCAGTGTATAACAAAATTAGGAAAATTGAAACAGATTGACAAAAAGAAAAGGCATTCTTAAGAGCAACATTAATTTATGTTAATTTGATTTCTTTATCTCGTTCAGATCTTGATTTTTCCGCATTTATTCTCTTTATTAATCATTTCTATGGAAAATGAAATAAAACGACATATAACGATTGCTTCAAAAGGCATAGAAAAATATAGAAATACAATGAAAAGTACGTAGCCAATATGCTTAAAACGTATAGTATATAATGAATGTATAATGCTAGTTATGGCATACGGAATATGGTAATTAATAAAATCACTAGTAAATAAATAAATAAACGTACGAAAATCAACGAAAAGTGCAATGTTAGCGATAGCAGGGAAAAAATGGATCATCGAAAAGACCGAGATAAAGCTTAAAAGTAATTAAGCGGCAAAAAATGGACGGGACACATCAAAAGAAAGGATATCAGATAGAGCAGAAGGTTGGTTGATTCATCTTGTGCTATCCGGTGAGTAGCAGAGAATAACAAGTCACGGAGAAAAAAAAAAACAAAATCCCAAACAACAAAAATAAAAAAAACAATTAAAAGTTAAATACAACACAGTTGACTTAAAATGCATATAATTAGATCTTATAGAACTGCTTAATGATTAATCAACAATAAGCGTTCATAGTCAACACAACAGGCCTTTCCAAGATATCTTCCATGACGTGTGAGATTTATAGTTAGGAATTTTTTTTTACTGTATTCAACAACTCTACTTATATATATATATATATATATAGTCCCAAGGGTAATGTAGGGATAGGAAAACGTCTATCATCACCACCACTCAGACCAAACCTAATGATTTTATTACCACTTAGGCAGAAATTCACTTTTGCTAACAATCCAGAAATAAAATCAAGGCTCACTACAATTACAGAAAACGAACAATGAAATATTAAAAGAACATAAGGAAAATTTATTCCTTTCTAAAATGTACATTTTTCTCCCGTTAGAACAATTATAACCTGTTCCATATATATATGTTCAATTTTATAAAAAGTAGGAAGATCTTCAAAATTTTAATAAATTCAAAAATTATTTAAAAATATAGAATTAAATTATTTTTTTAATTTATGAATATTAGTTATACTTTATCGATTCTAATAATAAAAAAAAACTTTGAAAAAATTTCTGTGTCTAAAATTAAATGAAGAAAATGACCAAATAACTAAGATTTTGAAAAAGTTTTAATCTATTATGCAAAATAATAACTAAAAATTAAAAGTAGTGTTCTTTATTGCATTGCTATTTTCCTGGACCTAAATACCTTCAAAGTGTTTTAAGGTTAAAGACTTTTCATTCAAACTACGTTAGATTCTGTTAAAACTATTTCAAAGAGTTGCTGAAAATTTCTCGGCCATAACAAGAAGAATTGATATTTGGTGTTTTGTTCACGTTTAGCGAAATGGGTCAAGTTGAGACTTTTTCAGCACTCTGTCGTATAAGAATTTTCATTCAGTCTTTATTTGGAATATAGCTAGAGTTGTTTTCATTATTACTAAGAAAATAAAACTGAAATTTGAATGTTAAAAAGAATCACTCACACGAGAGTGTACATGGAAATATTATATATATATATATTCAAATTATTATACAAGTTCACGATAATTATTGCTCGAGCACTTTATTGAAATTGTGTTCGCTTTGATATAAGTTGGTTTATAATTTTAAATGTGTTGGTAGGATTACTATATGACTAATACAAATACAAAATTTCTCACTTAGCTGACTGATGTTACATTCAGCACCCCGACTCCAGAGTTTCGTAGACGAAAGTTTTTGTAAACGTTCAGTCCACTCGTCAGGAGGCTTCAGCAAGTAGTATAAAAATATCGAATATGACAAAATCTGCTAAGTTAAAATAATTTATGCGCTGTTTATTGGTGTTAGGTTGATTTTTTTCTTTTTGCGTGCGTGCATGTGTAATGCTCCTACACATACACACAAAAATAAATAAATCAATCATTTTGTTAAGAAAATACTCATTTATTGCAATCTTAGAAAAAGGTTTCAATGATTTTTTTTTTAAAGAGAAGAATACTTTTGCTAATATTGTTATCATAGTTTTAAATTTCTTGTTTGTCTATCCAGCTGGAATATATATATATAATAAAAATAAAAAAAGAGAGGAGAGGAGTTGAGGGCGATGGTGGGGGGTGTAGGCATTGGAACTGAAATGGAAGAAAGAAGAATGACTGGAAGTGAAGTTCCCAACTGATCAAAGATAACCGCACTAAAGACATTTAAGCGTTATACCAACATGGATTTTGCAGAAGATGGATTTAGAAAAGAAACTCGATTCCTTTTCACCGAACTGAGAAATAAAAACATTGCATTACAAAGAATTTCTTTGGTGAATACGAAAAGATCTCAATTTGTATATTTGACTCGTTTTATTAGATCCATTATTAGTTTTATCAGCATTTAATGAAAATGGTAGGATTTTTTTAAAATTAAATTATTGTATTTGCCGGATTCGAAGACGCACAACTATTTTTTAAGCCTGCAAATTTAAAACAAATAAATACGAAAATTGATACAAAAAGAAACTCACTAAAAGCCTTAACAGGCATTCCTTGGCAGTTTTCTCTCTTACACACACAATATATATATTACATTATGATGGACAAGATCTGATAATTTCTGAGACAATCGAAATTGCTCTAACAAAACATCAACTTAGGGGCAGTTTACCCACAATTTTGATTTCGATGTACATTTTTAAATTACAATAAAAACACAGACCTTGTCAGTTCAATGTAACAAAATTGTGTTTGGATAAATTTACGCTATATATATATATATATATATATATATGACACACACACACACACACATTTACAAGAATGACTTGAAAATACAGTTGAGACTTTTAGGTGTAAAATTTTGTAAATAAATGAATGAACGAACGAAAAGATAAAAATATTTTTTAAAGCTGTATCCCAAGCTTTGATTTGAAGAAAATTGGAGGAAAAGAAAACAAAATGTACCCCGGTGATTATCAACTGAGAGGCATTTTATCATCTGCAACAAAGGCGGGATTTCAAAGCTGTAATATAATGATGAAAAAAATAATTCTAATTCAAAATTGGGGAGGAAATGCGGAACCTGGGAATTGCGAAGGGGAGCAAATGCGGAACCTGGGAATTTCAAGTCGAGGAAAATGATATTGTACAATGAGAAAAATTTCTTGTGAAGGTTCTGACAAAAAAAAAGAAAAGAAAAAAAAGAAAAGAAACAAACAGAAATATCAACTTGTGAAGGTTCTGACAAAAAAAAAAAGAAAAGAAAAAAAGAAAAGAAACAAACAGAAATATCAACTTGTTCAATTTGATTTCATGAAACACATTGTCTTGTTATTCTTTCCCAACTATCCACGTTTACGTTTTTGTCACTAATTTCTTAATAATAGTAATATGTATTAATCGATATAAAAAGAAACTCCATAAATTCTGTTTTTGGTTGTCCCGTCTCCCAGCTTTGACTAAAAATATTACTTTTCGCGCCTTTGCTAGATTTATTTTCTTTTAAAATATCAACTTTATAGAAAAATAGAGAGAAAGGATTTATAGGAGAATAGAGAGAAAGGATTATTAATTTTAATTTAAAGAATAGGGTGAAACTTCGAAATTAACTTTTGAGAAAAATAAAAATGAACATCATTTGAAATATCGGCGAATATTGTTTAAATCAAATAATTTTAGTCCAAAGTTTAAATATCTTTTTGATTTTACTAATAAGAGGAATTAAAACTAAAAAAAAAAAATGACAAAACGGTTATAAAAAATGAATAAAATAGTAAAAAAAGGGGAGAAAATAACAATATTAATAATATTAAACATAAAAAAAATAAAAAGAAAGAAGGTTCTATTGTTTTTTTTATAAAATTAAAAAGGCATTAGTTATCTTGGTATAAATTCAAAATTGTTTTTTTCCAATGCCAAAATGCGTGAAAACATGGAAATGTCTGCCCTTATGAACATTTCAAAAATTTGTTAAGGGATTAATGAACCCTTGAAAGTAGTCAGGATCCTGTCACTATTGACAAGATGAAGGACTCTTCAGGTTCCATTTGACCCCATCCCCACCTATATGTAGGAGGGAAAAGCATTATGATTAAGTTTAAAAAGAAAAAAAAAAGGGTTTATAATTAGTGACTGACCCTTGCAGAGCAGTTACAGTAGGAAAGGAGAAAGAAACGTAAAAATGTCACCAATCAATTTTTTTTGAAAATTTCTTTTTGGATTTTAATGTAATTTTTTTGGTTAACTCAATTAGTAAAGAAATTACAGATGAAAAGCAATGGCTTAACTATTTCAGTTTTCTGTTTATTTAAGCGGTTCGAAAGATGAATTTTTTTTAAACTGCTCTGACATTAGTTGTTCATAAAACTGAAAGACAAAACAGCAACCTTTATTAAAAATCTTTAAAAAGTTAATATATAAAAAAAATAAAATTCCAGAAATATGGCTCGATTTTTATTTCTAATGTTACTAGTTTAATGACGAACAAATTTATTTCGCAATTGCACAAGTTATATTTTCTGCAGGAGTAATCGACATTTTTTTTTATTGATACGATCAAATATCATCTATCTTTCAACCTATATCATCCTGGTGTTAGTTTAAACTGACGCGTTCTTTTTTTTTCTATAAATTATAATTATAAGCTATATTTTTGTAAAGTTAAATTACACGTAAATATGTTGAAAATTTTTCAATTTTTCATTTGAAATTAAGAAAATATGAACTGTAACCAGTAGGTTAGGGTTAAATCATTAAAATTAAATATAGCCAAAGAAAGATAACACGAAAAAAAAAAGATACAATAAGCCCCTCGAGTTACGAAAGTTCCGACCTACGACGATTTGTGGTTACGACACAAACTCCATTAAACCTACGTTAGTCGCATGACTCATAATTCCTAATTAGCAATTTCTTTTGCTCTCTCCCACTACACTCCTGACTCAGTGGTGGGGGGTGTAATACGCAGTGTAGCTCAGTTGAGTCAGAGGACTATCCATTTTCGGAAATCGAAGGTGACTAATGCAAGATTAATCTTGTTTCGACATATGCCGTTTGCCTCGTACATACGACGCTTAAAACAATTTAATTATATGTATTATTTTCGTTTCCTTTTATTATATTTATATCTTCCGTGTGTTTTTTATTAGCCCTATGTCATAGAAATATATTATTTTCTGACTTAGCAGAAAATCGCCTTACGGCGCATCAAGGGAACGGAACTTTGTCTTAAGTCGAGGACATCCCTGTATTCATAACGAGATATTCCACTGTTATGGTAATACAAGGCTTATTGGCTCTGAGTAATAATTCATATTACCATAATAGAGAAATATCTCAGGAGATCAGGTGGCCTTGTCAATAAATATATAAAGTCATACTGTGTTTTAGATCATAGAATATATATATGCTTTTTACTATGTAGAAAATATGTCATTTTTATAAACTTTCTATCTTGGCGACATTAGCCCGTTCTAAAAATGTTACTGTCTTTGATCTTTCTTACCTAAAATATCAAAATGATTAAAAAAAAAAAAAAAAAAAAAAAAAAAAAAAAAAAAGCGTAGTTTTTAAGTTATGCTACATTTCTGGGAGAAAAGTACTCAATATCAATGACAAAGCTTATGCAGTGTGGGCATAGGTACACACATTGGATAGCCACAGACTTTATATATATATATATATATATATATATATATATATATATATTTCCCAAGAGGATAGAATCCAGATTGAACTCAATGTCCAGGACAGAGTAAGAATATAATATAAAAGGCTCAAACACTAATATTCCATGGTTATAATTTATTACATTGGAATCGTAATCACGATCCAATTCATCAGACCTACAAAACGTGTGTGTGTGTGTGTGTATAAACTAAAATTGTCCCCAACTTTATACATTTTCATTTTCTGTTAAAATCTTTAATACATCGTTACTCAATAAGTTATCTTTTATATTTTGTTCTTCGGTAATTATCAAATGATCTATAGGAAATAATCTATCACCTGTAAATCGGTATCAAGTGATTTTGAAAACATCTATCTCTATATCGATATCGTAGTATCTACCGACCTTTCTAGGTAAGGAGTGCATTACGCTCAGAAAGGAAAAATTATATATCAAATAAAGCTTCACCTATTTTAAAAGATCAAAATGGTAAAGGAGTAATAAAACAATAAACCTGTTTATTTATCTTCATTCTTTTCGTCCACTCGCTTATTTTTCGTTTTTCTTGAGCTTTTTTTTTTTTTACTTACCCTCAATTTAGCTGTGCAGAAATAGACTAGCAGTTGATGTGTGAGTGTATGTGTGTGTGACTTTTCACAAAGTGCACGGATATTATGCATGTTCTCAGCTGAAGTGCTTAGTTGAAGGTATAGCATTGCGTTCAAAATATACTTAGTTGAAGCCATAAAATCGCGTACAAAACATTTAGATTTCGGCATTAAATAACCCAGAGATTGATATACTGCTAAACAAAATCAACCAAACCAAAACAATTGAAACACTGAGAAAGCGACACCTTGATACTGCCTAAAGACCTTGACACTATGTAAAAGTGTCAACCTCTACGGAAATAATTCTGTCATTTCTAACGGACATTAGGTTAGTATAATACAAAAGAAATTCTGATTTTCTGTGGCTATGTAATGGAGGCTAAGAAGTTTCCCAGAGGAAAATAAAATGTCTTGTCACTACGGCATCATGTAATTGAAGGGGGGAAAGATGAGAAAGACGGTTTCTGTTCTTTTCCGCTATATACAACGCAACCTAGCAGACGTTAGAAAATTTCTGGCAGACAAGGTGGGATAATGCCACAGGTAAATCGTAGTCAGAGATATTGAATTAAGGTACCATCAAAATACGTTTATTTATAGAATGCAAAAAAAAAAAAAAAAATTCGATTTATTTGCAACAGAATAACATTGAGGGGGGGGATTTCGGCCGCATTCAATTTAAAAAAAATTAAAGGGAAATAACTCTCGTAAAATTAAGTATTTGTGCGAAGTAAACGTAACAAACTCGATCTGATTTCGAACTCGGCTCACTAATTTATTCCTCTGAATCACTTGCCATCCCACTACATGCATATCCTATAATAACTGTTAAACGATAATTATATTCTATTATCCCTTAGTGACTCAACAGGTCAGACGGTTGTCTGATAATAACTATAATTAAAAAATGTTGAGGCATTTAAGCAAAATTTTAAGATTTAAATCACAAGCCGAAAAATAAAAGAACTAGAAAGCAAACTTTACACAGGATGTTTCATCAATAACGAGAAAATCATGTGATGAAAGGTTATTCCATCAACATTGATAGAGTTGATCAATAGAATGTGTTTCGGGTGTCTTCCGCAATAGAACAACGAAACCGGGCATAGGTTACTGGCAAATTCATTTTACTATAAAGGCCTGCACTAGTTAATCTCAATAAGCAGTTTGATTATCAACGTTAATGAATGAATGCAATCAATCTTTATTAATGTTTCGAGTCAATTACGCGGTTTTAATCAGTAAACAGAAAATCATTTGTCCGCTTATGTTTTTGCTAAGCAAAATAAAAGGAAAGCTTAGCTTCTACCACATCAGATCAGAGTCTAAACTTAATAAAATCAACTTACTTCAATCATATAATTTGCTATATTTTGGTTGGAAATAATGATCAATGTCGGAGATAGTGCATTGGTAGATATAAAGTGAGGACATCGAAGTCAACATTACATGATGACAGGTACTTTCATGCCTTCAACGATCATCACACTATTTATGAAAATTGAGATAGAAATGAATATATCTGATAGACAATACATTAGAATGACAATAGAAGATTTTTTTGCAACGCGTTTCGTTCCTTCAGGAATGTCAGCAAAAGTTAAATACAGTGATATATTTAGAAAAGAAAAAAAAAGAAAAATTAACAGGGTATTTGTACACACAGAAAGAGTATCATTGAAAAGACGAAAAGCATAAAAGACGAAAAGCAAAAGGAAAAAAGAAAAAGGGAAAAAGAAAAAGGAAAGAAGAAAACGGAAAAAGAAAGAAAAAACGGAAGGAGGAAAAAGAAAAAGAAGAAAAAACGGAAAAAGGAAAAGAAAAACAAAAAGAAAAAACAAATAAATAAAAAAGAGGGAAAAGAAAACAAGAATTTATGTGTTCAAGTTAATGTGGTGAAAATTTCTCGGATTCGTCCACTTTCAATAGTTGGTTGTAGTGAAGGCATCTTGGTCATGTCTAGAACTCTTCAGCACGCATTCATATATATGACGTCATATATATAACGCGCTGATCCGGGGGTATCTCCCATTCGCACCAGTTTCAGCAAAGCACAATTAAGCAATTTTTTTTGTTTAAATGACCTTGTAAAGAAATTTTATTAAAAAATAAATATATAAATAACACCAAGCAACTAAAAATAAATAAATAAATCTGGAAAATAATAAAAATATTCTGAAGAATATAACGGAAGACTTCTAATATTAAAAGTAAAATAAATTTTACATTTAATATTACTTAAAATTCTTAAGTTTTACAACAATTTTATTAATTCTTGAATTAATTTTTTTTAATATTTTGTCAATTCTCATGCCAAATATTACAACTCAAATTTCCAAATTGCCTACACGTATTACAGTAAGCCCAGCCCACTAAAATCCCTCCATAAATTTTTCAATTTGGAACCCACCCTATTAAAAACCCGAATCTTATATATATATATATATGTGTGTGTGTGTGTGTAGGTGTTTTTGTTGAATAATAATTTTAATTTTTTTTTTATGTTTTGCAATTGAATTTATGGATTATTTTAGCATTCTTGTTTATGAATTTATTTATCCAGTCGGAGATTTTCTCTCTGATAATAAGCAAAATATGTTTTATATAGGTTGAACAACAACCACTCTTTCACGCAGGCTCACATGCCATTTATCTGAACTAAATGCCGTTAGACATTAACAACCACCACTAGAAATTTCATAATATTAAATAACATCTCTCTAACAATACAAAAATATTCCATAAATACAATTGCAAAAAATAAATAATTAAAATAAATAAAATCAAAATATGTGTGTTTTATCCTTTCGTTATCCGTTGACATACAAATCTATTTGATTGGACGATATAATTAAGGTTTTCTTCAATATGATTTGTCAGTGTCTTCGTTCAGGTAACGTTTTGGTTCCGCTTGTGCATTTCAAAGGGAGATTATCGATATAAACTATTATAACAGTTTGCTATTTTTAAAATTTGTGATACGCATTTGATGTAAATGCCAATAGACAAGAATACACACAGGCAATCTCATTTATGTCAGCATAAATAGCTAATATACAATTGTCTATGAACTAAGCATGGCCATCGAAGCTTCTCATGTTAATGTCTTTTCCTCTTTGAGGAAAAAAGCTTTCTTTTATTCCACTTTGTTTCTTCGATAGCCATTTCATTCAACCCTTCGTAAAGAATATTTTCACAGCCATAAATCTCATCAATATTTCATGAATTGCGTTTGGCATGTCTACAGGTCGTTCCTGGAACAAGTACAAGGCTACACGACTAACACAAGCCAGACTCGCATGCAGGTACAATGACGTATGATTGTAAGAGCGACTGCATGAATGACAGTGGGGTGGTGGGAAGGGTTCTAGTGCAGGTCTGAGAGACAACAGCCAAAACACGCCTTCAGCAAATCTCTTCGACCTCGACTACAAGCATGGCTGACTCACCATCTCTGATCCATTTACGCCACTGTTGTAGCAGCCGAAGAACACACAAAGCCAATCACATACACGCAAAGATGCAAATATCTTCTACACACACACACACGAAATCTGACTCATGAGTTGATTGCACTTATTTGGGAGAACAAGAAAACTTTTAAATCGGGGAGGGGTTCGTTTTCTTGTTTTTATTATTTTTTGGGAGTTGCAGATATTTTGCCCACCTTGGCGGGAAATTTATAAATGAGTAACGCACAAAAAACACAATCCACCCGCAAAAAAAAAAAAAAAAAAAAATAAAAAAAATAAAAAAGCATGCTGAACGGAATTTGGAAGAAAGAGAAATAAAGAAAAATAAATCAATAAGGAAATGGAGAAAGAGGGAGAGAAAGGGAGAAAAAGGAGAGAAAGGGAAAGGAGGAAGAAGAAGACAAAGAGAAAAAAGAACGCGGATGAAAAGTGAGGACGAGGAAAAAAAAGGAATGGAAAAGAAGGGGGACGGGGAAGAAAAAGAGGGGACGAGGAAAAAGGAAGAAAAATGAGAAAAAGAATGAGAAGGAAAAAAAAATAGAGAAATAATAAATGAGAGAAGAAAGAAAAAGTTGAATATCATCATCATCATTATCGCATGATTAAATATTAGAAAACAATCAAATTTTTATTAAATGTTTTTTATTTTTACTTTTATATGAACTTACTGAATGAAATTAATACATTGATCAATCAAATATTGTTACTGATCAATGTAGATCAAAGATAGATTTTATTATAGGGAATATATATATATATATATATATATATATATATATATATATATATTCATTTATTCATTTATTTTTCAAATAAAACTGTTTAAATGGCTTCTATATAAATACCTGAAAATTTTTACAAGAAAGTAACAAATATTACCCATTTTCTTAAATATTAAACTTTACATCTTGGATATTTTAAAAGATCTTCCTTTTGCAGTATAATGAAAAATGTCAGTGAGACATTTTTACTGTTTTACAAAAAATAAATAAAAGTCAATCGAAGCTAAAGAGCTTCAGAATAATAATCGCGTCTAATTTGTGAACAAAGATGGCGGCTTTTAACACTATTTTACTGCTCAAAACAAACAAGACTTTTCTTTTCATCTTTTTTCAAAATTGGTTTAATCACAAAGCATTTAAAAAAGACTATGGAAATACGTTTGAAGTTATCCAAAACGGTTAGACTAACGGCACAAATAACTATGCCTGCAACAGCAGATAATTGAATTTATTATGACACAAGGTCACAAACATGGGGCACCCAGTGAGGATCGAATTTACGACTGATTGTGAGCACAAAATGTAACAAACCTAACTTTATTTCAAGAAATTTCCCCGACTCTCAGGAGAGAAATGTTATGTGATTACAAGTGCTGCCATTGATGACCTCGCCTCGATTGGTAGGGTTGGTGGGTCTGATGGGTTACCTTGACTCTCCCTACCCGCAGAATCAGTGCAAAGATAGAGTACTACAAATCAACGTACATTAACGAGGGAGGTATAATTGCACCGTGGCTTCTGGTTGGTGATTTGTTTCCCAACCAATCCCAAGGGAACCCCCCCATTCCCTGCCTTGCAAACGAGCTACTGCTAACTATGATTGAAATCTATTTTAAGGGTGAAACAATTCAAATAATTTGACAATAGTACGTTGTTGCAGCTGTCCTAATTCTATTTGATACAATTCTTCTTTGTTTGACACGGTATTAATCAGCTGCTAGTTTACAGTCGCCAGTTATTTCATTACCTAAGCGTCTATAGTTCAAAGTAAATTGCAATGAAGTCGAGAAGAACGGAAGTAAAGGTGGCTTCCTCCTTTCTAATTCACTGTTCATCATCATCACTACTCGAAACCTCCCACACTTACGCTACACATATCCCGTCAGAGCGCGAATCATCGCGTAATTCGATCGCGGCTGGGGTAAAAACCTTGTCGCCGAATGTGTAGTAATTCTAGACAGTAAAATACCGTTGCTAAAACTGACAACAATTTCAAAGCTAGTCTTAAATTGGATACACTGAACACGCTAAACCATTATTAAACATGCCACTTCCGTTCGATTGAATTTAAAAGTGAATTGTTGTTCTCTCTAGTTAAGTTTATATATATTATATATTGTTTGTTTCATCGTTTAAATGGCTCGTGAGTTGAATAAATATCGCTGAAGTGAGGCCACTGTCTGATTGGATTTTGTGAAGTTAATGTCGCTTCAGAAGATATTGTTTATATAATTTCTAAAGTTTGAAATAAACTATGAAAATAAGTTATCGCTGAGGGATAAAATTCTCATGTTCTTAATAGAAAAAAAAACAACACGGACGAAAAATAAACAATACACAAAAAAAATGATTACATATTTAACAAAAATCAATAAATAATAAATCGAATACAATAATAAAAATGAATAATATATCGAATACAATTAGAGAAACTATTACAGATACACTATATGATAAAAATATAGTTTTAAGGCATGTTATATTTATGTGTTAAAATATTATCAGAGAGTGTATATAAATATGAAAGAGAACATAAGTCACCTCTGAACGGCGACAATGTTTCATGCTTGAACGCAATCTTCAGGCCTGAAGATTACGTATAAACATAAAACAGACTGTCACCGATTGGCTTGTTCTGTTCACACTCCTCCCGGTCTTTTAAACAGGAATAAAGGTTTATCCCTTGTCCTCTGTTTAGGATCAGGTTTCGGTTCCTTCTAAAATATCTTCATTCTCTTTCACTGCCAGTAGCCCCTTGCACATTGTTGGCATTTTTGCCTTGCTTGGGGCGAATTATATATATATATATATATATATATATATATATATATATATAAACACACAGGTAAGTGGTAAGTAATCCAAGTGAATCCGAGTAATATAAAATATTAAAACTGATTCAATGTATTTATTACATAGCATATATGAATTACAGATAGATGAAAATCACTCCACCACAAGAATGGCCATTTCGCCCCTTCCAACGGGCTTATCAACTCTAGTAGTTTTTCCAAACTCCCTGAGTTGATAAATCCGGAGGGCGAAATGGCCATTATTGTGTGGGAGTGATTTTCATCTACCTGTAATTTTTTTTTTTTTTGTGTGTGTGTGTTTATTTAGGCATTAAATTCTCTTTTAGGCATGTCTAATTGAATAAATTACAAACATTATCTCTGCTTATTTTTATCATTATCCTTTCATATTCACGAATATTTTTCCGTATATTACAATTAAATAAGGCAAGAAATGCACTGTAACAGTAAGAATTCTCACTGTTACAGTGCATTTCTTGCATTATTTAATTGTAATATAGGACCATATGTTCGTGAATATGAAAGAATTATGATAAAAACAAACATATAATATTTGTAATTTATCCAATCAGACATATATATATATATATAACGCTGCAAAGCCCAAGCAATATGTCATGATGTTTATATTAATCTATTATAGTTGCTTTATATAATTAAACTGATTAAACTAGGATGTAATTATTAAAATGATCGGCCAACGAAAGCTGAGAATCTTTTTCGAGGATGTAAAGAAATTTAACAAAGAAAAGCCGTACTACGCTGTCATTCGAGAAAATAAAGAATGTCTGCTTAAATATTTTATTACCTGGTGATTGATGGTGTTGTCTCATATTTTATTCACAATAGAATTTAAGGCTGTTTACATGATCTTTCTCAATGTCTGATTAATTAAAAAAAAGAAAGAAAAAAAAAAAAAAAACGTCTTTCATTATATACTTGAAGGGGAAAAAAATCATTTCGTTCTTATGATATGATTTTATTAGGATTTCCTCACGAAAGACTTGCATTTCCGTTAGTTTTAACGTCTCTTTTAATTCCAGTAGCAATTGAGGCATGAAAAATACGAGAAAGAGCGTCTAGTTAAAATCCTTTTGAAAAATATAGCATTAATAATGCATTGAAATATGAAAAGAAAAAAAGAAAAGATTATTTAACAAAAACAGGTAAAAAAATTTCTGACTGCTAAAATAGATCAGAATTATGGTTAATATAGATTCATTATTCAATTTCATTCTGTATCGCTCCGAAAACATTTAATAAATTGTTCTAAAATCTCTCATTTATGAGAGTAATATAAAGTATATACGCACACACACACACACACACACACACACATATGTGTGTGTTTTGAGTGTGTACTCTGAATGTTTATGGCTGTGAGAAGTACGTAATATTGGAGAGAGCCTTTGTAGATACAGACACTGATAATGGGGACATGGAAATCAACACTGCATAGTGAGTGTCAGTTTCACGTTTCGAGCAATCTTTGGACATGTGTATGTGCATAGTATTGCATATAAATATATTTTCTTACGTGTATATGTATATATATATATATATATATATATATATAAATGGATTGTTGCTTCTATATATATATATTTATATACAGATTGGCGTGTATAAACACTTAAAAAAACAAAGCGTCTACACAATTACTGGTATCCACTAAAAATAACCTTTGATGTGTGTGTTTATTTCCTGCATGCAAGTATATGCATATACATACGATATCTAGGAAAAAAAGATTTTTGTACTCGTTCCTATTAGAAAGAATATCTGACAGATCGATATCCATTAATGGTATCAATCACATTAGCATGTTAGATCCTGTTTAAATTTTTACGAAATATATATATATATATATATATATATATATATATATATATATATATCTTAATTCTTTTGTTTATTTGTTCCTTTTCGTTTTGTATTTGTTTCCAGACGAATACATATTTATTTATTTGTGTCTGTTATTATTTATCTCTGTCTTCAGACTGCACATGGCTGGGTGAAGCTTTTGAAGCGGCAGGCTGAACTTAACGCCCGTGAATGATTCTCTCAATTAGCCCTTGCTTTGGTGGAGAGGTCGAGGGGCATCGGTGAGACACTCGCACGGGTCGCTGCATGCATACACACAGTAGAAATAACGAGGCTGGCCAATAGCATTTTATTAGATTCCGACCAAACAAGATTCTCTCTGATGTTAAAAGTAATTATTGATATTGTAAATACATCAATAAAGTTTCAGGCAAATCAAATGGGATTTGATTCTGCCTAGAATAACTCAGTTAAGTCGTGGCTCGACTTTGAGAAGCGATTGCGTAGAGGAAATATTATGGCTGCTGTTGGTGGCGGTATGGGGTTACCAGCAGATATGCCTGATTGTAGATGAGACTAAAATTCAGAATACAACCTGGATTTCAAAGAAGGTTGAAAAATACTAAAGTAAATAAATCGTAAAGAGAGAAATCGAAAGAAAATGAAAAAGAAAAATGGCTGTCAACATTCTTTTAGAAATTTCCGAAGAAAAATAGTTTTTTGGAAAAGGACTGCGAAGGGAAGATAAAATTTCACTATTGATAAATTAAGCAAAAATCGTTGAAAAAAAACCCCCAAAAAACAAACAAAAAAAAACATAATGGAGATCTGACGAAAACTATTTGATAATAGGGATGTTATAAAATTTTTATATTATTATTATTACTATCATTAACTGTTATTTCTGTTGTTATTTGTATTATTATTTGAAAAAAAAAAATCGGATTAAAAAC